TTTTCAAAGAAAGAGACATCCATACTTACATAAAATTTTCTTGTTTGGGGATTATAGCACTTATATCCCTTTTGATTAGAAGCATACCCTATGAAAACACATTTTTCAGCTCGAGGATCAAGTTTGGACTGAGTATTATTGGGTATATAAACAAAAGTTATGCAGCCAAAAACCTTTAGAGGTAAATCCGAGTATATCCTTGATAATGGAAAAGTTCTTTTGAAACATTCTAATGGCGTGCTATATTTTAAAACACGTGAAGGCATTCTATTAATCAAATACGAAGTTGTTAAAACAGTTTCCCCCCAAAGATATATTGCAATATTCATTGAAAACATTATAGTACGAGCCACTTCAAGTAAATGTTTATTTTTTCTTTCAGCAATTTCATTTTGTTGAGGGGTATCCACACATGTAGACCGATGATGAATACCCTTTTCTTTCAAAAAAAACTCCCCAAAATTTCATTAAAATACTCGGTTCCATTATCGGTGTGAAAAATGCTAATTTTTGCTTGAAACTGAGTTTCAAGCATTGTGTAAAAATCCTTAAAAAATTTTCTAACCTCAGACTTTTTATTTATCAAATAAACCCAACATAAACGGGTATGATCATCTATAAAAGTAACAAACCATTTTTTCCTAGAGACAGTAGTGACTCTTGAAGGTCCTCAAATATCACTATGTATTAAATAAAATGGTTTTAAAGAAGTATAAGGTTTTGGCAAATAAGTAGTACAATGACTCTTAGATAAGCAACAACTTTCACAATAGAATGATGAATAATCTAAACCTTTAAATAAAGTAGGAAACAAATGTTTAAGATATGGAAAGTTAGGATGTCCTAGTCTTAAATGCCAAAACATTATTTGTTCATAAACAGAGTTAGAACTAACACTACTAAGGCCCTGAGCCTTTTTATTACTGGAGAAGTCCCCATCAAAGTAGTAAAGTCCATTTATTATCTTAGCACTGCCAATCTTCTTCCCCGAGCTCCGGTCCTGAAATTCACAGTAAGAATCACAGAAAATTACACGATAATTAGTTTTTTTGGTTAGTTTACTCACAGACAAAAGGTTACAGGCTAGTTTAGGGACATGGAGAACATTTTTAAGATTTATATCCTCGGATAATTTTATCAAACCTTTTCCTGCAATAGGTGAGAAACTACCATCTGCAATTCTAACTTTTTCAAGACCAGAACATGGTGAGTAAGTGCTAAAAAGATTGGAAAGGCTGGTCATATGATCAGAGGCTCCAGAATCGATGATCCATGGAGTATAATTTAAACAACAAGAAAGGGCATTAAGTGCACTACCTGTTTGTGCAAGAGAAACATTAGGAATACCAGATGAGGAATTAAATTTCAGCAGCTTCAGAAAGTGATCCATCTGCTCCTTGCTTAAAGGACTTGACTTAGTTTTATTGGCAGTAGGAACCGTACGCCTATTTCCGTCACCAGGCTTGTTACTCTTCCAAATCGCTGGTTTTTCGTGGATTTTCCAGCAGTTCTCTCGAGTATGGCGTGGTTTGTTGCAGAAGTCGCACCAAACCCGTGACTTTTCTTCAGGTTTTCGCTGAAAATTGACTACTTTATTAGCAGCAGTCTCGGCAATAATAAGGGCAGAACTTTCAACAGGTCCGCTGGTAGTCTTCTTCCCCAACATTACATGTCTACGGCTCTCTTCTCTTCGAACCTCAGTAAACACTTCACCAATTGGAAGAAGTGGAGTCCTGCCAATGATCCGTCCTCGTACTTCATCAAATTCCACGTCGAGCCCAGCAAAAAATTTGTAAATACGATGAGCCTCCACAGTCCGTTTGTAGTGATTGGCATTTTCAGTGGATTTCCATTCATAATCATTGAATAGATCCATGCCCTGTCAAATGCGCTTTAATGAATTGAAATACTTGGTGATCGAGTCTTCTCCCTGCCGAATCTCACTACGTTTTAAAGTCAATTCGTAAATCTAAGACTGATTTCCCAAATCAGAGTACATCTGATTCACGTTGTCCCAGAGCTCCTTAGCCGTGGAGTAGCACATATAGTTGGAGCTAATATCCTCGTCCATGGAGTTCACAAGCCAAGTCATCACCATTGAATTTTCTGCATCCCAGGTCACGTACGTTGGGTCCTCCAATGCTGGTGCCTTCTTGTCTCCCGTCAGGTACCCGATCTTTCCCCGCCCTCTGATGTACATCAGAACGGACTGGGACCACCGTAAATAATTGTCACCTTTAAGGCGAATATTGGTGATCTGAACCAAGTGAGAATCGGTACTGGGGGCTTGGGTTGTCGAATTTGTTGACTGGGTTGTGATAGGCGAGGATGACATGGAGGAACCGTCAGACATGGCTGATCAGTGAAGAAATTGTGCAGAAAAGAAAATTATGGTTTTTTTTTTTTTTTTTTTTTTCCTTAGGGTGGCTCTGATACCATATAAACTATAAAGAAAAGAAAAATAGAAAAACATTTTTCTCTGTATTAGCACACAACTCACGAGTTTACACAGGTTCTCTTTATAGGAGAGAATACACGTACATACTTACTTGGCCTAATTAATAATTTCTTATTTTATAGCATTTGACCAATATTCTATTTACAAAAAATATTCTCTACTATTACTACCAAATCTTTCCTTTTCAACAGTTTGGATATATGTTGTGTTACACTAACTTAAATGAATTATCCACCAAGAAGGAGAATTGGATTCAATCCTTGATGAATGGCAATCTTTTTGACCCTAGAAAGGAAAAAGGAATTGTAATATTTCCAAGGGTAAAGTACATTAAACCCCCCTGAACTACTGGGGTATGTGCAAGAAACCCCTCTGAATTATAAAAGTTGCAAAAAACCCCCATGAACTATTAAGGTATGTGCAAGAAACCCCCCTGAACTATAAAAGTTACAAAAAAAACCCCTAAACTATTGGGGTATGTGCAAGAAACCCCCTTGAACTATATATTTTTTTGTAGTTTATCCCATCCGCGCGAATTGATTGACTGAAAGGGACGATGAAGCCGAGGAATTTGTTGCTGGGATCGGTGGTTCTCCTGTCATAGCTCCATCATAGCCATTGCACCACTCGCCAGATCCGTCGGCCATATATACGCACTTCTCTGCACCGTTGCGTCAGCCCATCGCCGTCACCGCCTTGCCCGCCGTTCAGCTTACCTTGCTCGCCGGTCCATTCCATCGTCCATTCCAAGCTCGCTGGCCCATTCCGCCATCTCCATAACCGAGCACACCGCCGTCCGTGTTTCGAGCACACAGCCGTCCACAGTTCATTGCCGAGTCCCCTTGAGCTCACCGCCGCCTCCACAGTTCACAACCGAGTCAACCGAGCTCTCATCACAGCCGAGTCCTTCGCGCACAAGCCGCCATCATCCGAGATAGAGCCATTCCGTCGACCTCGGATTTCTTTGGTCTTTTCTCTCTCTCTCTCTAGCTCTCTGTTTTGGGTTGTGTTGGGTGAAAATTATCTTTTGGCAGAAAAAAAATGTAAGAAGTGTATAAGTTAAAACGACGCAGTGTTTTATAAGGGTAAACTGGTCTTTCAAAATTTTCGGGGCCGGAAGCTGATGTCATGGGGGTAAATTGCAACAAAATCATAGTTCAGGGGGGTAAATTGCAACAAAATCATAGTTCAATGAGATTTTTTATAGTTTAGGGGGGTTTCTTGCAAATGACCAATAGTTCAAGAAAGTAAATTGTAACAAAATTATAGTTCAGAGAGATTTTTTTGTAATTCGGGGGGTTTCTTACAAATGATCAATAATTCAGAGGAGTTTAAGGCACTTTACCCTATTTCCAAGGTAGTGACAATTATGCACGCAGACTGTGTGTTTTTACTGAGTCCAATACGATACGTGTAGAAAACTAGGCAGTTGGTGGAGGACCAAATATTTTGTGTCAGGTAGCGAGAGGGAGAGAGAGGTTGATGGTACAAATAGGACTTTCAAAATTTAATGTGATACTGACCCTAACCCACCCCCCACTCTTAGCTGCCGGAAATGACATGTCACTTGATAGTGAGCCTTCCATTTAATTTATACCCGTGTGAGGTAGGGAAAGAAACATGAATGTGGTTATCATTCATTTATCTTATAAAATAACATAATATAAAAAAACAATGGTATAAATTAAATTAAATTAAATTAGACTCACTTAGAGCGTATGTTATATTTTCGTGTCAAATTTATATTTTAAGATAAATTATAATGTTAAATGTTATTTTTTATAATTCTGCTTATTTTTGACATAACAACTATTTCATATTTTGAGAGCGCATTGGAGTACGTAATTTTCATTTTAGCAATTTTTGACAATATTAAAATATGAGAAGTTTTTTGAGAAAACTCATTAAACTTTCTTATTTTCATCCACTTGCTATATTTTAAGTTTGAGATACCATTTGAAAGCTGCTATATTTGGCAATACTTTTGACAATCTCAAAATATGAGAGGTCTTTTGAGAAGGTATTAAAGTGCCTTATTTTCATGCACTGAGTATATAAAATTTGATAATGTTACATTGTCATTTGTCCATAACCTATCAAAATATATATATATAATTTATTAAAAAATAACAGAATAAAAAAGAATAATGATACACAAAATAATTGCCTAAACTTCGTTTAATAAATAATATATTTCATAAAATTATTTATATAAAATAAATAGTAATACAATATTATTCTTATATATATATATATATATATATATATATATATTTTATCATTTACAAAGTTATGATAGAAAAGGAAAAAAATAATAATAGCAATAGAATATATATATATATATAATATCAATCAAATTATTATCATATCTTTTTAAATAGATGAGATATAAATGAAATATAATTTCCTTCTTTAAATTATTGAGGATAGTTTCAGAATAATAAAAATACTACTAAATATTATCATTTTTCTTTTTATCTTCTATTTTTTAAGATATAAAAAACAAAGACTCTCCCTCCCTTCTCCATTTATCTTTTTTTTATTTCATTTTAACCAACACTCTCACTGTCATTTATTTTTTTTCTCTCCCCAGTCAATATCTCTCCAAATCTATATCCAAACGTACCTTTATATTCATACGGTTATCACACCAAAAAAATAAAAAATAAAAACTTCCAGCTGTCACACACTTATAGCTCCCTTCCGTAAAGTTATAACTACGGAGAAGTGTACGGGAAATCGTCTGCTCCGCGTGTCTCTCCATCTTACCTGTGTCAGTACTCTCCAATACGGAATTGTCCTCTCCTCATTTTCCAACCGTTGGATCATTCCGCAATATTGAAAGGAAGTGACATCCAACGGTACAGGAGCATTCTTCAGCTGCAAACGACAAACAAGTCCAAAATTCATATCCTTTTCCTTTTCCTTTTCCTCTTCCTCTCCCACTAACTTTTTCCATCCCTTTCAAAACAAATGTCAATCTCGTTTTCTCCCACGACCTTCGCGCTTATTTCCTAACATTTGCTTTGATTCGTATTTGAGTATTTAATTTTCACTTCGAAATAAAAAATAAAAAACAATCATAAACATAAGAAAAATATTGCTCCTCCCAAGGACCTAATAACTACTCTAAACATAATCACCATGATTTTGAATCCAAACACACTCCATCTATGCTTATTTATTCTTAATTCTCAAAAATTAGTAATATAATAAAAGTGAATACATAATCCAATTAAATCCACGATAAGATTGGAAGTTACATGGATAATATGGATATAACATTAACAACAGAATCATAGATATCATTAGATAGGATAATGAGCCCAACTTTTAGGGGAAAAAAAAAAAAACTTTCCTTACATATCCGCATTACAAAGAGTTTCTTGATATCCAAACACACAAAACATTCTCAAAAGGCCGTCCATATTCCTCACTAATTGTTCTTGCAGTCTTCCAAGACTCTAATCTTAAAACTAATAGTAGTTGGTAAGTAGGTTTATCCACATTGAGTACCTATATACAGTATATACTTTTCTACATAGAACTAGAACACCCCCACTTATATCTCTCTATCTATGTCTCTCCACCCCTTTGCATCCAGGGATGTCCTGCAATACAACCAACACAAATACTATAACAAATCAGAAATTTTACAAAGCTCACTTTTGCTACAAACTCTAAAATTAAATTAAATTAAATAAAACACCCCCAAAAAGTAGCAATGTAGTTTGAAATTAGTGAAGTTCTCGTTAATCACTACAACTAAACAGAGTGTAGTTTCTTCCTTAGTTGCGTAAAATTTGTTTTAAAAAATGGAATTAGTATCTCAACAGATGACATACAAACCTAAATCTGTCTTCCCTCTTCTCTACTATTTTCTCAGCATCCAAACGGAGGATTCAAATAGAACTCAAAGAAATTTAAACAATTAGTAAAAGATTGAACAAATCAATGTAAATACACACATGCAAATAAATATATAAAGACAGACACGCATATATATATATATATATATACTCACTCATAACTTGTTCGGCGGTGAATCTTCTGGAAACATCCTTACAAAGCATCCTCCTCAAGAGATCCTTGGCCGCCGGCGACACCGAGTGGAATAAGCTAGCCGGAAACCGTAAATTCGCGCGAACCACCGCCTCAAAGATCTCCGTAGCCGAATCGCCGTAAAAAGGAGGAATTCCGGCCAACATTATGTACAGAATCACTCCCGCACTCCACACATCCACCTTCTCGTTGTATTCGCTCCCCGCCAACACCTCCGGCGCCACGTAGTACGGCGTTCCGACGACTCCACTCATCAACTCGCCCTCCCTAAAACACTCCGCCGAGCCGAAATCGGCGAGTTTCAGCCGATTCCACTCGTCGAACAGCACGTTATCCGGCTTGATGTCCCGATGCGCCACGCCGCAGCGGTGGCAGTGGGCGATCGCCTCCATCAACGGCACCATCACGGCGACCGCCTCCGACTCGGAGAAAACTCGGTCCCTCACTCTTTGGAAGAGATCGGAGGAGTTGCAGAGCTCGAGGACGATGTGGAGATGATTATCGTCCTCGTAGACGTTGAAGATTTGGACGATGTTAGGGTTTGTGGACAACAGGTTCATGACCTTGACTTCGTTGCAGAGGCATTGCCGGTCGATGGAGTCATCGGCGATCAGACGCTTGTCGATGGACTTGACGGCAAAGGACTCGCCGGACTCAGGGGAGTAGCACCGTGAAACGACGCCGAATCGTCCCCGTCCGATCTCTTCACACAAATGGTACTCTCTTCTCAAAGCCTCGCTCATTACTCTCTTATGTTTCTCTCTCTAACACTCTTTTTCTCTCTCTACAAATAAAACAAGTGTGGAGCAAATATAGCGTGAATTAGTTTCGGAATGTTTTAAGGGAATATTCGATCATGAATCGAACGGCTGTGGATTGTTCTCATACGAGTGTGCGGCTACAGCCGTTGGACTGGAAACAGTCCCCCGATTAACTTAAATTAATAATATTGTTGTTTTCAGGTTTCCGTACAAGTTTAGCTCGGATTTTAGATTGATTAGGAATCTGTTGCATCGTAAAAATGTGAGCCCGAGTGGGGTCTGTTTTGGGTTTAGTAGTTTGGTGAGTTTCTTTCCCCTACATATGGCCCATTTGATTGATGATGGACTCCCACCTGATAGGCAGCGCATGGCCCACAAATTTTTAACCCTTTTAAGTTGGTAAAGCCACAAATTTAATTGTTGATTTCTCTTGATGGGTGGGACAAAGCCGCAAATGGATGTGTGATCAGGGCATAAGGTTAATTTGGGTGAGAAAAGTGTTTTGTGGGTCAGGTAAGGAGAAATTATTAGATGGTGAAATCTTGATATTTGGTGGAGTAATTTTATAAAATTTAATGTTGAGATATTTTTTGTAATATATTAATTTATTATTGTGGAGTTGTTTTACTAATAGAAGAGTTTAAATTTAACTAATTCTCACGCTGGTCCAGGACCATTTAATAGTGTAACATGACCATTAAGATGGCTTTATGAGGTGGATTTAATCTATTGTTACCAGTTTATAATTAAATTATAATGTTTTTTTTTCACTTTAGTAATTTTTTATAAAATGAAAATACTCAACCAATTAAGCAATGTGAATTTAAGAAATAAATAAATAAATTAACAAATGGTATCATCTGAATCCCACATCGAAATATTTATTGGTTATTTTGAACTCAATTGATCTATACTCTTTAATTTTATAGCATTGCTCTACTAGTAACTTACTTTACCTTGAGTAAATGATTTTGGTTGTAACAAGTAATTAATTGTTTAGTAAAAGATTTAGAAACTGAAAAATGGTGAAATGACATCTTTAGCAGAAAAAACTTCACACATATGTTTTACTTAAATCGTAAAACTATGAAGTTGAATAAATAATCTTAAGAACAAATACAGTCTATTATTCTAAATAAGTATTTAATACTAAATTAAAGTTTTACATTTAAGATGACTTAAATCGTATAGAGAGGAATCTCCGAGGACATAAGGGTATTGGCAGGGATTCGAGAGGTAAGTTCTTGAAGTCTTTCTTTCAAACCACAATCCTAACTTAAATAGTACGTGTGTTGTGGGACCGAGACACGTATTCTAAAAAAAAAAAAAAAAAAGGCTAGGAAAATTTTCAATAAATGTAATTTCTTTACATTTCAACTTTGAGAAGAATAAAATAAAATTCTATCTCCTAGACTCTATATATTTTCACCAACACCATAAACTCTAGATAATTTTTACTTAGGTTGTGTTTGATGGTATGAAATTGAAGATTTAAAATTGAAATTGGTGGAATTGGACAAAAATTTAGTTCAATTTTCATAATTTGTTTTTCTCCAATTCTAATTCAAAGCGCCAATTTCATGTCTGCCAAATATAGCCTTGGATTTTTCATATCCATCCATATTCCATTTTTGTTGCTCTCTATGACAATTTCATAGAAATTGAGTTGGACAGATTTAACCCCCCAAAAAAAAAAAAAAAAAAAAAAATTATATTAAAAAATTATAATAACTATAAAATAATAATAATAATTAATTAACAAATTGTATCATCTGAATCCCACATCAAAATATGTATTGGTTATTTTGAAGTCAATTGATCTAAACTCTTTAATTTTATAGCATTGCTCTGCAAGTTACTTTACCTTGAGTCTCGGTCATAGGGGCTGAATAGTAAATGATTTTGTTTGTAACAAGTAATTAATTATTTCGAAAAAGATTTAAAAATTGAAAAATGGTGAAATGACATCTTTAGGAGAAAAAACTTCACACATATGTTTCACAAACAAACATTTCTCTTACTAAACGTAGTGAGGAGGTTATTTTTTACTTAAAACGTAAAGCTATGAAGGTGAATAAATAATCTTAAGAACAAATGTAATTTCTTTACATTTCAACGTTAAGAAGAATAAAATAAAGTTCTGTCTCCTAGACTCAATATATTTTCACCATAAACTTTAGATAAATTTTATTTAGATCGTGTTTGGCGATATGAAATTAGAGTTTTGGAATTGAAATCGGTGGAATTGGACAAAATTTTAGTTCAATTTTCATAATTATTTTTGTTCAATTCTAATTCAAAGCGCCAATTTCATGTCTGCTAAACATAGCCTTGGACTTTTCATATCCATCCATATTCCATTTTTGTTGCCCACTATGACAATTTCATAGAAATTGAGTTGGACAGATTGAACCCCAAAAAAAAAAAAAAAAAAAAAAAAAAATTTATAATAACTAAAAAAAAATACAATTACTAAAACCTCAACACGTTCTTGGTTGTTTGGTTCATCTTGCCTCCTATATGCATGATCAAATAAAGAAGCTACAATATGTGCAAGAAAAAATACTGTTCTGGGGCTTCCATAATTCTCTAAGATACCCCACCACACACAAATACCAAAAAAAACACAGAATTCGAGTTTGTGTAAACAAGATTTGTGTGGATGTCACTTCCATGACCTAAAAAATATGGCTCTTCTTTTGCAAAGTTTTTTTCTTTTTTTTTTTTCACGCAATTTTTATTGACTAAATTATTAAAATAAAAATATAATAGATAAAGATACTACCTCCCTCGTGTATTAGTTATTCATTCTGAAAATTTTGATTCACTTTCATTTTTTATTTTTGAATTATTTAAGATTATTTTTAATCATATTCATTTTATATATTTATATACTACTTATATTCTATATTAGATGTTTACTTCGGTAATTTTAACTCATAAATATTATGTTGTGAGTCAAAAATTTTAAAATGAACAATTAATATGAGACGAAACTAGTATCAGATTGGTACAATTCACGTGTCATCATCACCATATACATCAAGTCTAAACTCATTCTTCTATCTCTCAACAACTTATATGAAATCCATTTTGTTGAAAACCATTTACCAAATTATGAGTTGATGGAAGATTAAGAAATGATTCATCAAGATTTTATATTTATGTTACACTATGAAATTTGACTATATAGATTGGTGAGTTGAAATTTGACCAAATAAAAATAAATAAATAAATATAAAAAAACAAGAAGAAGAAACATAGAGGACCGTGTCAGCTAAGAGGACAATGTTTGTCGACCTAATCGGATACAAGGCCTCTTTCATTGAAGCTGATAACAAAATTTGAAGTGGGAGATCTTTTAAGATATGGAAACACAAGTGTTGTCTTTCACATTAAGATTGTTAAGATTTTGAGGACCCATTTCAATTAAGGCAAGGGTCCAGCCAAATCCTTAAGCTTTTATGAATGGGACAATGATAAGTACAAAGCAAGGACAATCACACAAAAATGTTTTTCAATCTTAAATTGTTTAAGAACATGTCTTCATCAAATTGTTTTATGGTCCACACCTAGTGGCTGATCCATTGGGTAAAAATTTGAAAATCTAAAAATTGGTTTAACCTTTAAATTTTGGAATATGCTGCTATCATCATGATTTTCAGAGACTAAATCGACAGAATCATGGAAAAGGATACATTTGGAGATCCTATAAAGAAACTGTTGCTCATTTTAATATGAGTCTCAAGATAAGGTTTTTTCTAATCTAATTTGTTTAAATGAATACATATATTCAGAGGAGTTTGAACATAAGGATTTTCGAATATTTTGTTTGTTTGGATGTAAAATATATATTTTTTAAATAAAATAATTTTATATAAAATGTTCTTTTCATTTTTTATTTTTCGGTATTTGGCAACAGTCCGTAAAATATTTTCTAAATTAGCTTTTGTGCATAATTAACTGTCTCTTTTTTCAGGGTTCCTTACCAACCGTCTACAAGAAATAGTACTCCCTAAATCATCCCTCTCCTCTCGTTAATCTCTATCTCTCTCTCTCTTTACGCTAAATCATCCGTCCTCCTCCTTCTCGTTACTTTCTCTCTCCATACCAAAACACGATCCAAATTTGTTCATCGACCAACCCAAATTTGTATCCATCTTTCTCTCTCATCTCACTCTATGCATACATATAGAGAGAGAAGACCGAAGATTGGATTTTTAGATTGGGAAGACTAAAAAAGTTTAGTTGTTAAAAGGATATAGGAGTTTAATAAGAATACGAATAGTTAAATGACCCCAAGGTAATCTGTCAAAAATGATTTAGAAAACTTTTTTGATAAATTGTTTTTAGTCATTTGGGAATAAAATGATTTATCTAAAAAATAATTTCCTAATCTTAGAGTCTTCCAAACACTGTAAAATGAAAAGAATATTATATATGATAAAACAAACAGAACCTAAATCATTATACATATCTAAGTATTTGTAAATCATTCTAGGTTCAAAATGACAGCCTAACGAATGGATTGATTCTTCGTTACCAAAAAAACAAACACACAAACACACATAAGTTAACCAATTTTAGAAACAAACTTGAATTACTATGTTTGCCTTGGACTTTTGCTGGTCGGCATAGCGCATAATGATAGACACTATGACAATTACCACCCCTATATATCTATATGCATGACTAATAATTTATTACAGTTGTTACTTGTTGGTGAAGTTCGTCTGATTGTTTGCATATATTTTGTGATGGTGAATCATCGATTTGTATGTTATTTTATAATGTGTACAAAATTAATTAGTGTACAAATTACAGCTAACAGATTATCATTACACCCATTATCAATATACTAAGCTCACTGCATGTAATGTGCAAAGATATTTTGTATTTAAAATACCTATGGTAACATCGATAGGCTTTGTCTCTAGTAATTAGCAATGGAATGCAAACAAGATCATGCATAAAATAATGATTTAAGTGTTAAAATTAAATAATAAAAAAGGGGGAAAATAATGACGTTTGGTCCATCTATATAAGACATAGATAATATAACTATTGAAAAGAGTCAAGCTTCATTAAAATAATTCATGATATTTGGATTTTTTTCAGCTAAATTAATACGCTAGGCAATAGGCATTGCAGTGGTTAAGTATTATATGACAAACAAGAAATCTGAATATACATATATTATATATTAACATATTCTTATTAGTGCTTTATGGAGTGAGCCCATGTCAATATATATAATACTCCGTATATGTGCGTGCTTATATGCGCGCGCATATGTGTGTGTGTGTGTGTGTGTATATATATATATATATAATAAATATAAGGACACACGGACACATGCAGATTGGTTCTGATATTGTTGGTCATGCATGCATGATTCACGACCAAGCTCCGAGTTAGAAAGGGAAGAGAACTTGAATTTGACCCAAGAAATCTCAGCAATTTAACAATGCTTATGCGAACTCATACATTTTCAGCATAATTTAGTCCAAAGGCTTTCACATTATGACAATACGATTTTCCTTTGACCCATCAAAATCTCCACTAAATCCGAAAATTAAGGGAGTTTAAAAAAAATAAAAAATTGCTCTTTAATTTCTTCTTTTTACCTAGGCAAGAAACACATACACCAGTCTTTGGTCATTATTCAGAATAATCAGTTGTATCCAAATGATTCGGATAAATTTTCAGAAAAAAAAATTCATCAAAAATTAACTTCAAGAGCAATATGGTATTTTACATCGAAGTTCACCTTCCATTGCACAATTAAACTCTGCAAAATTGACTGGTACACCATCCGGACCAGGGAGGAGACAACAATGCATTTCATCAATTTTTTCTTTCTAGGATTCGTTTTAAGTTTTTTGTTGCATGTCGCGTTTAACATATAGGTTACAACCACAAATAATGATTCGTGCATACCGCCATTGAGGGTAAATCTACCATTATTTTCTGAAAATCAAAGAGACACGTTCGCAAATGACCGACTAATTCTATATAGAACATGTACATACACAAAAAAGTTAGATTCAGTGTTTAACAAACTCTAGCCTCAGATATGTCTGAAAGAGGAGTATTTTTTTGACAAGCAAAAACATACAAGTGAATTAGTCTAATATGGACATACCAAAGCACAGAAGTACAACTGCAAAATGATCCTCTTTCTTTATCAACAATACAGTCCCCAGAATTCGTTAATGCAAGAGTATCAACCTCCCGTAGCTCCTGCACAAATTAAAACAGAATCAAAGAATGCCCTGCGTACCAAAAAGAACTGAAAGGAAAAAAATCCGTGGCACCACGATACTATTTTATTCTACGACTTTCAAAAAGAATTTGGAATTTAAGGGACTTCAAGTTTCAATGACAGGATTAAATGGATTGACGCAAGCCCTCACATTACTAAAACGAATTGACCTAGAGGTTGTTGCTTCATCCAACAGCATTTCTACCCACTTTCTCCAGCATTCAAAAATACAGACCTCGTGTCTCTCTTTTAAACATAAAACCCATGCATTTTTTCTCCGTCTATTCCATCTGTGCATTTGATGAACAAACAAGAAGTAGATTTGAGGGGGAACAGTTGGGAATGGAAAATCTCAGGCTGCAAGATGATGTTTTGACTGTCATGCTGTCTTTTTTATATACGAAAGCAATCTTTTTAGAACATTTGTCACTAAAAATAAAATTCAGCGCGTTTTCTAAGTGAACCTGAACCAGTTCAGTAAGGCTGTTCCAAAACTACGATTTAGGATTTCCCAAGTACAGTTTTCTCTAACATAAGTTTACAAATGGTAAGAATCCAAAACACGGTGTGAATCATAGAATTATATCATCCCAGTAACTTGGAATAGGTAGGCAATGTGAATTTTTTTTTAAAGTGTAGCATAAAATGAACTGCTTTTCTCTACTCTTGCAACAATAGCTAAGCTGAGGTCTCTATATTTAGATTGATTATTTTCTGCACCTTCTCATGTTTTGCATACCGAATTTGTTCAAGCACACGGGATGAGCCCGGAAACTATAGTAAAAAACTGAATATTTTCAAACTATGCAGCTTAAAGTGCAAAAGAAATGTTTGTTGCCCAGTTCTGGTCCCACCAGATGCTAGGAGGGATAATTGAGTTAAGACCCAACCTTTGGTATTATTGATTCAAAGTGGCTGATCCCAGACCTGAACTCACCCTCCAAAGCTTAAAAGTCTCGAGTTTTTACCATTAAATCAATCAATGACACCTGCATCTTAGATTGCATTCAACAATTCAGGTTCTTAAATGCAAAGTAACGAATCAATAATGTGTTACTTACCATCTTTGCTTGAATTCTGTTGCATGTCAATCACTTCTTGCCACAGCTGATTCACGTCAGAAGATTGAAATTCCTGCGAAGTGTTGCCTTTTGATGACGAGGGATACGACTGGGGAACAGAAAATGTATTTATGCTTCTAGTCACCTGCTTCTTAGCTGAAGAGGATTCAGCTGTAGAGCACAAGTCATCATCTGTTCTCAAGGTCTCAGCTTCATTTTTGCAACTTTGCAAGTTATCTTGTGGTGGCCTTTCATCCACAATGCATTTGGGTCTCTTTCTACTGAGCAGACCATTCTTGGAATTTTGCATTGAGGGCACCCTTTGATCACGAGATGAACTAGTGGGGCAAGGAGTCTTTTCCTTTAAAATAACCTTTGGAATGGGCAAATTTTCAATTCTTTCAGAATTATCGACAACTTCTTCACCTGTTTCATTTAAGTTATCAGCCTTTGCAGCCACTTCCTTTTCCCGCATAATGAATATAGCTTCTGTTAAATGATCTCTTGCCAAATCTATATCAATTATAGGCTTTGGATAGTTTAATCCCAACTCTACCCCTGCAGCCTTGAGCACAGTGAAGGGTGCATCCCAAGGATGATGGATCCATTCAGTAGGCATTCTTGCCAGCTCAGGCAGCCAAACCCTCACATATTCGCCCTCTGGATCAAATTTGAATCCTTGAACCTGACTCCAAATTAAGTGGGATGAAGAATATTAAAATACAATTGCAGGTGTCCATATCAGTCAATTACTTCTAAATATATTACTCATTCTCTAGCAAATAGAAACATTAATTTGGTCCTCTTGCAGACATCAACAGAATCCATCTTCCTAACATAGTGTTTACTATGAGTGTACTTCATGACATGCACCACAAGTCTTCAACCATTTCCAACAGTAAAGTCATTCATGAATGTTAAATTACTTTGTATTCCTCTTACATTCTTAATGGCTCTTGTAACTAAAAAGAGGGTATGAAAATCCCACAGAAAGTGAAGCAGTCCATCATATTACTTGAACATACATGTTTGATTTGCATAGGAGACTAATTCCACAATAACCAAGATAATACAGATAGCAGATCACCCAATATCAAGTACAAGTGAATTTAAATGCTATTAGACACCCAACGGACATATATACCAGACACAAGTAATAGATGATGAACAGACAAAATTTACCATAGGTTCACCTAACACCTTATTATGCAATGATTATGATCTAATGCTGGATTTATGTGTTTAATTGTTATAGGTAACAATATAAAACGATTCCATTTCCATGTGGCATCAAATACCAGTGAACTTTTGTCTTCATTTTTTTACTCTTGAAAACAAGAAAGATGAAATGACATGAAAAACTTGTCCAACGGATAGTTTTAAAAAATTGTGTGAAAAATAAATTCTTGAAGACGGACTTAGTGACCTGAAAATGACAGCACCTTAAAAAAAATTCAGCATTTTCATTTTCAGAATTTTTGAAATGATAGCCAAATAAGAAGGATTTTTTTTAAAAAAAAAACAAACAAACAAATGGGCCCAAAAGATGTCCATATAAGGAAAGATATGTCACTTCTACATAACACTGATTTTTTTTAAAAATGTTTTTGAGGGGTTCTATTTTAAAATACAGTGTACCACATCAATTTATTATGACATGGAACTTGAAAATGCATTTAGTATAATTAAAATTCCTTTAGTACTTACCAAAAGAAATGCCCTTGGCAAGATTAAAATACTGATACTGGGCTATTGGCCAAGGTGGCACGAGCTCTCCTCACCAAAGGAGAGTTGAGTGGTTCAAGCCCCATATTGGCCTGTGTGGTGTGTGTGTACATGTGTTGCTTACCCACCCAAAAGAAAATTATTAAAATGCTGACATAGCTGCAGAAAATTAATTCACTGACGTACCTCTGGGCTATCTATCCGCTCAAGCTCATGACCATCCGGTAAGCTCCCTGAGATATATTGCCAACCAAGAATATCACTTTCCAAATCAGCATCCAAAAGTGTGTCCCAGAAGTATTTCATCCCCCATTGCCACGGAAGAAGTAAAAACTTTACAAAGAAACTCGAAACAATCACTCTTATTCTGTTGTGAATCCAACCAGTTGCCCAAAGCTCTCTCATTCCCGCATCAACCAATGGGTAACCAGTTCGACCCTGTCTCCAAGCCTTAAAACGGGCCTGATCAGCATGCCAAGGGAAGTGTTTCAGGTTGCTCAGCAATGATCTTTCATGAGTAAATGGAAAGTTGAAACAAATATAGCGGGAATATTCTCTAAGCCCAATGGCCCTAAGATAAAAAGTCACACTCTCTTTCCCCGCCGAATTTCCTTCTTTTGCCCAAAGTATCTGCTTCATTCGTACACACTGGAAAACTTTCCTCACACTTAATTCCCCAAAATGAAGATATGGAGACAAGAGCGATGTGGAGTTCCCTTCAACCTTTAGCCTATCCTTTGAGTAGTCAACCAGATGATGTTCGAGAAATTCAGTTAGAGCCTTATCAGCATTGCTCCAACCTGGACACCATCCTCTTCCTAATAAAGCATTACTAGATTTTTCTGATTCATTTTCAAGACCTAATTCCTCTATTGAATTCTTCTTCGCTAATCCTGCCATTAACACAAAGGAAATAATTATTAAATATTTCAAATTCATTTCTTTTTCTATCTGTACTTTTTGTTTTGAGCAAAACTGTAAATATATTGATTTACCGAAGTATACATACGTATATATATATATATATACACACACACACTGCTACAACCAAGATATTGTCCAACAAGGAGCACGTCTACATCTTTAATTTTTGCTGCTGGAAGTAGTTAAATATTCTAATGTTGATGTGCAAGTCAACTATGGCAACAGTGACTGCTTGTTTGCATCAACAGTGAATAACTATATTATAGTGTACATGCATACTCATAGATGTACCTGAAGCTGGCACCAACCTCCATGGAGGAAGATGGGTCGTAGGTTCATTTTGCATGTTCAAGCATTTGTCCCAGTATGTATCAAAGGTTGTTAAAGCATGCCCATTCTCATCATATACTTCCCATGGCTCATACAACAAATCTCCATTATAACTTTGCACTGCAATGCCAAGTTCTGCCAGCTTTTCTTTGATGTTGTGATCGCGAACAAGCGAAACAGGATCTGGAAAGGAAAGACTGCTCTTAACAATATAGTACAAACCTTTAAAAAAGAAATAAGTAGTAAAAGTACCCTACTATATTAACCGTGTAAAAGATGGGATGCCTTGTTTAGGCCCAATGTTGAGTTGATTCTCAAATAACTAAAATAGGCTCTATAATTTAAGAATTATCTTTGCTGTGATACGAAATATTTTACATTAACTTTCAACTATTAAGAAAAAAGTAATGTATATATTAGCAAGTGATCAACACAAAACTATAAATTTATATACAGGATCAAGCCCGCACAAATTAAAGGATATGTAATAGAAAATTGCTTTGATCTCGACAAGTCATATTCATTTTCTCTCCCTTTTGGTTCATCTTATTTAGACACAATCCAATGTCAATACATCTTCAAGCTGACTCTGCATCAGGCTGTCTGGTTATGTCAACTTTGCAAATAAATGAGAGAATAACCCTTTATGACCACTGTCCCCTGTAAAAGTACACCAGTAGTACTGCTTAAGAAAAAGCTATCGAGCAAATTGAGGGCTTCTTAGTATAATGATACCCATACTCTTCTCTTCCTTTATCTTTTCTTTTCTTGGTGTAACCGTGTAATCCATAACCTATAATCTTTCAACCCCACACATAGAGCCAACCAAATAAAAATTTTTGGCAGTTAAAACCTATTTCAACATTTCATCCCCATGGACAACCAAGCAATGCAAATGTTCCTTGGCAGTTAAAAGTCAATACTTAACCCTTCAAGAACTTCCTATATAGAAGCTCTAGATGTTCAGGAATCAATAGAAAGAAATTAATTCAACGGTTAGGAAACCATCAATCTAGTGAAACACCAGCCAATCAATAAGATAGAAATTGGTATGCTCAGAGAACCTGTATAGCACAAAACAGTGTGGGACTTAATGGCAAATTACAGCACAGATGAATAAGGGAAATTAAGCAACAGAACAAGAAGGCAATTGAAATAATGCTAAGAAGAACTAAAAAATGCTTAAACAAAAAATGGCAGTATGTTATATGATTATGTATATTAGTAACAATATGCAAAGAAGAACTTAAAAACTTCACAATTCGTTTAAGTTTGCGAGGCAATTCTATTACTGAAATAATGCTACATTGTGTAGAATGGTAAGTGAAAACCAGATAAATTTCACTCGGAAGAAATGTGCAATTTAGACATGGAAAAATACCTGTATAATTGGATTTGGGCTACTATTGCCCATCACTCTTGGAGGGGGAAGCTGAGAAACAGAAGTAGAAAATTCCCACATAGGACCCTGTTGCCTAAACTTGCATGGATTGTCACATAACAACTACAATTACTAGGTCCATATATTATACGAGATCTATTTTGAGATTATTACATGTCAAAAACTGCTACTTCCTCAAAGTTCATTGAGAACAAAAGGCTCTCTTTATCGAGACTCAAGTGGACTTTCTTTGATAAATAGAGAGCATTGATATCATTGGTATCACAACCAACTCCGTTAACTCCAGAAATGATAGCAATAGACTGTAAATTTTCATTCGCAATGAACTATAAGAAGTTCTGTGATTAACTATTTGACTGATAGCATTACACTGAAATGGATCTAAACAATATATATGTAAGAGATTGCTAAATGAAATATCACATCAGCAATAAAATCAAATAATATTTCATAAAACTAACATTGGAAACGAAAGAATGTGATAAGGAAACAGGTTGCATTGAAGAAAGAAATCAGACCATACCATAAAGATGGTTATATACTACTTTTGTTGCCCCTGTGGTATCGATGAACTCCAGAAGAGCAGCAAGGGTGTTCTGGGCATTGATTAGCACAAGTTCAGCCCCAAGGGATCTCAGGGACTGATCCAAGTGAGTTAAAGACTGCTTCAACCACCACCTTGAAACCCGACCCGGATAGAATTGTCCTTCTTCTTTAGGGCACCATATAAAGAGAGGGAGGACACACCCTTCCCTAGCAGCTGCAGCTAGGGCAGGATTATCCTCAATCCTCAGATCCCTCCTAAACCAAACAATAGTCTTGGAGTTGCTATCCATAGTTCACAGATTGGATCCTTCAGTCAGTCAAAGGTTCCTATCATAACACCACAGCAAAGCTTCAATCTTTCAGGTCAACTAATTTTTTTTTCTTTTCTCACGATGCACTCAAAAACTTTACATAAATACATATTTTCTATCAATCCACAGCTAAGAACATCAAAATTGCCCAATTTAAGCAACCCATTAAACAACAGAGAATCTGAAACCAGAGCCAATGTTTTAATCAACAAAAAGGCTCAAATTACCCTAGAATATACCAAAACCATAACTGGAACTCCCCAATTAAGCATATGAGATTTTGCTGGGATTATCTACGATATAGCAGTAAAATTTTAATGAAACCAGTGAAGACCCAATTCCGCCAATTTCTTAAAAGGTGCTTTAATAACCTGTATAAACTTCAAACCCTAAACAAACCAACTCAAATCTAATCCCCCGACTTAAAACCTTCCCTCCATGTCTTCAGAATCCAAAACCCAACAATTAAATCTCAGAAGTACATTAAAAATAAAAAATAAAAAATAAAAAAACTCCTAAACCACCATTCAAATTGCAAAATTCACCTGAGATCATCACAGACCTTGACCAAAACCCTAGAGACAAATCAAAAGATCAACACATGTGATGCGAGAAGGAGCAACCCATTTGGAAAGACGAGCTTAAAAAATAATCTAAGAAACCGTTGAGAGTTCTAGACTTTATTGCTCTACTAACAGTTCGTAAACAACAGATCAGATTTCATGTGACCAAGTGGTATGAAGGGCACCCTACTATATATGATTCCTTATAAAAGATTAAATAATGTTATCCAGCAGGGCCACAAATAATTACTTTTAAATAATGAATTCCTTTAATTATGTTTCTTTTCATATTATATAACATTTTAAGGCAGATCCTAGTTTGGTAATATTTTATTAGATGTCACATCTTCAATTATCAGTCCCACTAAAATAAGAGGTTACTGCATTCAATTTACTATATTTCACTGTGCACCCCTATGTTAATTGTCAATTTTGCATATAGTATTTAAGATTTAAAATTTCAAAAATAATGCTCGGAGTATTTCCTCTTTTAATAATGTCCTTTTATATAAGAAGAAGAGAAAAAAAAGAAAAAGAGAGAGACATTTTACTCATTTTATATTTAATTATTATTTTGCTCTCTTTTTTTTTTTTCCAATTATAGAGGGACACTTCAATCTTTTATAAGTGTGATGAGTGTATAAAGATAAAAGCATTATTTAAGAGTTTTGATATTTTATAATTTAAATTAATAAAATATTAAAGGGCAATTTTGACTCTTTATAATTTTTAAGGGCTGTTTGGATCCAATTTTTGATAAGAATGTGTCATTATTCAAAAATAAATCAACTTGTATCTGGTTGTCTTTATGCCAAACCTCCAGGGGTATCATTATACTTTACTCTAATTAAAGTGAGATAAAATTTTAAATGATTGTGACTTTACTAGTTACTTAATACTTAAAATACAAAACAAGTAATAAAAAAAAAAATTGAAAAAAAAAAAAAAAGTTCTTCTTCTCTGATTATCACTTGTAACCCTTAAAATTTTCACTATTTAATTGTCAAATTTACTGAATATAATGTGTTTATACTCTGGTCACACAATCTTCTCAATGGGTGTTACTCTCTCATTCTCACGCGCCGCGCGTGTTTTGACTTAAATTCTCGCTATTTTTGACTTAATTCTATTACTCTCACGCTCCCGTTTTATGTGACTTAATTTATACTATCAAGAGTGTTTAAATTTTGTTTTGTTTTGTTTTTTTTTTTTTTATAATATCAAGAGTGTTAATAACGTAATTTAAATATTACTTAAAACAATAATTAGTAATTAAAATGCGTAAATTTTGAAGTGAATGGCAAGCAGGGAACTATTCAATAATGCATTTTTTTTTTTTTTTTTTGTATTATATACTTTGATTTATTATTTTTTTTTTGTATAACCTATAAAATATCATATCAAAATTACACCCACAAATTACACGCTATGGTTCAATTTTTTTGATGGCTACCCTCACTCACACAATTTTCCTAATACATCTTAAATGAATGTGACATAATTTATTATAAAATACTAAATGCTTAAAATTTATATATATAAACCATTCGCAATTTATAATTATAACTTAAAACTTCACCACTTAAAATTATCGAATATTCAAATTTTCCCCTTCACGTTGTAGCAAGATAGAAAAGGGTAGCTTACCCTTTAACCAAACCCAAAAAAAAAAAAAAAAAAAAAACAAAAAGAAAAAGATAGAAAAGGGTCCTCGGTTGTTGGGTCAGAAAAAAAGAATCTAGGATCCACTAACCGACCAAATCATTGCGCGACCAATTTCCAAAAATTCAGGTCACTTTTTTATTATTATTATTTTTTATTTATTTTTTATGGTAATGCAATTTACATGATTGGTTTTCATGATACATTTGGAATCCAGACAAGGCGTAGACATTGACTGCCTTTCCGGTTTTCATGGCTCATAATTTGTTCACGATACGGTACTTCGAAAAAAAAAAGGAAAAATGTGATAGGGAAAGCATTGGTATGGGGTATTGGTTTAATCCGACTCCTAACGGATTAATAGTAGCATTCATCTAGGGAATTAGAGTCATAAAAAAGAATAATTATCTTTATTCTTGCCAGCGTATCAAATCTAACCAGTTGAAGCTCAATTACAGAAGAAATATGATGATTAGAAATATATAATCCAAGATTTGTTTGCCCATTGAAGCCACAATCACACTGAAAGTCCTAATGAATAATGATGCATTTAAAATCAAAATGTTAGAAAAACCCTGGATTACAACAAATTTAGAACAAAGTTGGGTATTGGTACTATACTGGTAGGTGAGATATTTCATTATTAATTATAAAGATTAATATTAAAATCACAAGAAAAAAGAAGAAGATAAACACAAAGAAAGAGAGGTGTCACATAAAAAGACACCTCTTAAATATTGGAAAGAGATGAGACAAAAGATTTTTTATTTTTTTTGATTGAGAAGAGACGAAAAGATTGTTCCAAACAAAGTCAAGAGAGAAGTGTAATTTTTATTTTTAATAAAGCCCCTAATAAAAAAAAATTAAGAGAAAAAGCTTTTGAATGTCTTATTTTTCACCTTATCTACATGCATTTATGTGCAAGACAATCACTTGAGCTAGATGATGATAATGATGCGGTGGGAGACGGTTGTAGCTCCGTGTGAACCCCCGTTCAATCCAATTATGAAAAAGAACGGAACGGGATCGTCTTCAAGTATAGTCGCATGTTTTATTGCATTATTTTTGGACGGTTTAAATTATTGCACATAGTAGTATGTAAAACGATCTGGACCATTCAATGCAGTACGCCAAAAGGATACAAAATTTTTTGCAGTACGAGCATCTGTAATGTACTGCTATGTTCTTGGCTCGTCAAATAAGACCTCTCTACCTGCCTTCTCGAGTTTTTGCAGGATATTTCTTGCCACGGAAAAAGAAATTGATTTTTTTTAATCTTTGACAAGAAATTCAAAAGCTGTTTTGCTTCCCAAAGTGTTCCAGGTGTTATGTCTAATTTAATTCCTCGTCATTTAGGGGTGGTAAAATAGGTCACAACCAATCAATTTATCCATAATTGCTGACTTTTTAATAATTTTGGGTGAATCATATTCTTTAGGGTAAAGTGCATTAAACCCCCCTAAACTATACCTCAATGAGCAAAAAATCCCCCTGAATTTCAAAATAAACAAAAAACCACCTTGAACTATTCAGTCTGTTGTACTTTACCCAATCCGGCAACCGGCCGATAATTTTCCTTGCACGTGAGAGGCCAAATTTATGTAAATGACCATACTGCCCTTATCAATTTAAAATACTATACTGCCCATGAAACACCATTGGACCCAAACAAGCTCTAACAAATTCACTCATTGTCTTCTTCCTCCAGCACATATGATATATATATATATACATATATATACACAACACATATGATGCTCGTCTTTTGGCATTAGAACTGAAACGATCCAAGGTATAGTTTGAAGCTTTTGTACCTATATGTTAGCTTAGTATACAGTGAGTAAAAATAAAATCAAAATCAAAATAAAAAAATCAAAACCCATTTGGCATATACAAAACAAGAAATCAAAACCCATAGACATATTCTATCTGTACACCCCACTCCAGTTCAAGAGTATTTAGCAGACTCGATCCATTCTCCAACCTCCAACGAAACAGCACTCTTCTGCAACTTGACTCATTTTGATTTAGATATCCATCACAAAAATCAACTAGAAAGTGTTCTCACTTCGATTGGGACCGTCACACAGCTCTTTATCTAATTCGATATCAACATAAAAAATAAAATCAAAAAATCAAAACCCACTTGCCAGCCGCTCCTCTCCACCGACACATTTCTTCCTCACGGCCGAGCCTTCACCAGTCCGTCACCGCCGCTGCACCACCCACCGTCCATCACAACTGACATCATCCAAAGTCGAAACCGCCGACGCCGTCTTCATCCTCTCCACCGTCCGAAGCCTCCTTGCTCGCCGTGAGTTCGGCCGCCCTTCAATCCCGCCAAGCTCACCCACGGCCGAGTCAACCGAGCCCTCCACCGGCTGAGCCGCCGCAGTCTCTGCCGTTCAGTCCACCCACCTCGCCGTCACAGAGCCCTTCTCCACCTCGCCGTCACAGCCAACCCTTCTCTATCAAGCCACCACAGCCAAGCTCGTCATCGCCTTGCCCGCCGTTCTGTCAATCGCCGGCTTCGAGGTCACCTTTTCAATTTGGGGGTTCATCGAGTTAGAGAGAGAAGGGAGTGAGAAGAGAGACCCAGTTGAAGATAACGAATAGAAAAGGGAAAATAATAATAAAGTCAGCAGCCAATAGTCTGCTGACACGTGTCCTCTAAGCATTTTATTTTCATCAATGTGATGCGGCACCGTTTTTTTGAAGGGGTAAATTAGACTTTTCCAAATTCCGGTAGTTAGAAGTGACCTGAAAAATATTCTCTGTCCTAAGACTAAAACAAGACCATAGTTGAAGGGGGTTATTTGTAGTTGAGGGGGTTAGTTGCACTTGGGGTATAGTTGAGAGGGATTTATTGCACTTTACCATATTCTTTATTATATTCAACTCATTTCTATCTAAAATTCTCACTCACGAATCACGATCCTCTCTCTAAATTTGTTTCTCATCAATCCCCTCTTTAGAAATTTATTCTCTTTCCTTCACTTCTCTCTCTATAACAAGTCGATAAATATTGCTGAGTTTGAGATTATTTTTTTATTTGTTATTAAATAAAATTTTAAAACTTTTCCAAAAAAAAAAAATTAATTTTTTTTTGAAAATAAAAAAAATAATTAAAAATTAAAATAAAATAATTAATAGACTCGCGGGTCATAACGGGTTAACCTGGCCTATATATTTTTGACCCGCTCATTTTTAACCCGTTCTGAACGGATTGAATATAGATCTTGGCCCATGTTTAACCCGCCCATTTTTAACCCAACCCAAACTCGGCTCAACCAACCCATTTGCCACCCCTAGGTTAATTACAAGGTTACTCATGCTACAATTTTTTTAAGCAACTTTTTAATTCGCAACTAAGGAAGTAAAGATGTTTTTACGAGAGCTACGTAGTATATATGTGTTGAATATCGATACTTTTTGAATTCTTGTGTGTACGTGTTCTATATTTCTTAAAAAGTATCTGTAATTTTAAAATATATATTTTTAAATTTACAACACGTATTCAATATCTTTCAAATATTCTGACTACGAATCTAATAATTCTTAAATACTTCGTAACACGTTTTATCAAGTTTTGAATATTAATATATATATATATATATTATTAATAATATAGTATAATTGTAAAAAAAAAAAAACAAATTTATTAAGTAATAATTATGAATATTTATTTTATATTTTGTGAAACAAACTTTTATATTATATTAATAATCGCATTTAAATTCACAATATATTTTATTTTCCCCGTATTCATATCTTATTTTTTAAAAATTTATCACTGGATTTGATCCGAGAGAAGAATTGGGACACGGACCAGAATAATAAATGGGGTTGCCTTATATGGGCAAACACTTAAACTGAAGGATCGTGATCATCCCAGCATCTGCACGTGAGTACGACCAAACCCTAATTTGTTTTTCCTGACTTGAGTTGTAGCTATACTTTCTTTGTCTTGTTCTGGTGAAACAGTTGCAGCAAGAAAACACGTGATATCGATGAGGAATAATTGAAGATAATCGGTGCTCTTAGATTATGTTTTCTTTCTAATTAGGTTCTATTTGATTTTTCGATTCAATAGATTTGAAAAGTATAATGAATAGTGAATCTCACAAATTTTCACTCATAAGCAAATTTAGAAATTTAAAGCTTTTGTTTTTCTTAAATTATCCTTCATTGATTAAAGTACACTTTTACCCTCCCAAAAAACCCTCTCCGCAGACCGTATCCGGCGACACCAACGCCACCGATTCCCACCGAGGACAACACAACCGTGGCGGGTGGTGTTGGTTTTGGTGGTTGTGATGTGGGGTGGTAGTGAGAGAAACTGTTGGTTTTGGTGAGATTGAGGGTGGCCAATCAATTTAATTAAGGGAGATGTGTCATTTTAAGTAAAGTCAAGGGTATAATAGTAAAATCACTTATTATGTACTCTAATAAAAGGGTTCAAACTTGAGGGGTGTAAAGTATTTAACCCAAAAAGAAAAAAAAAAAAAAAAATGACATAAAAATTTTAACATTTAAATGATTTTCTCATGTTTTATAATTCCTCTCTCCCTTGATAACACTGGAGGGAATTGAAAATAATAATAATAATATTGTAAAACTAACTAACATGATTTCTTTTCCTTTAAACTTCCAACCATACAAGTGAAAAACTTCTAGTTTACTAGATTTGTGCATCAAAAGGAGTCTTAAGAAATTTTAAAAGATATTAAATAGAATCAATAAGAAAAATTTTAGAGGCCAAGACGTGAACGAAATTTAAAAACTGACCACTTAATGATTCAAGATGCGAACAATGTTAGTTTCTTTTTTATATTGGAACTATTGTTTGAAGATTAAGATTAAGATTAAAATTTGCTTTTTATTTTTTTAATTTTTAATTTTATTTATTTATTTATTTTTCTTCAACCAAGGATCTCAAACCAATTTACCATACTTAATTTTTTTTTTTCCCAATCAAACTGAAATCAATTAATTCTTTGGGAGGAAAACGTCATTCAAATGACTAATTTATGGAAGGAAGTGAAAATTTTGAAGGGGCAAAGAAAGAATGGAAGTGTACAAAATAAATAAAATTTTGACCTAGAACCTGTTCTGAGAGATGCGTGTGTAAGAAATGTTGTTTTTGTTGAAAACAGAGAGAGATAACAGTTAATCAGTTTTGTTGTGAAGGGTTGGAGGAGAGAAACGGTCAGAGCAGTCAGTTTTAAGTTGGGGGAGGAAACTACTCAGTTGTACCCAAAATAAATATCTATTTTTAAAATTCTATCTTTTTAAGATTATCTCCAAAGTAATGGTTTACCTTTTATAAATTCAAAACGTACAGATCGATGGCGGTTCAATTGACTTTCTGTTCTTCCATTAAGAAATTATTAAATTGTCCTCTATTAATACCATTGACAATCAATTCAATTCAAATTCTCTAATTAAAAAAATAACCCACAAGAGTGTATTAATATATTATAAAGAAATTTCATAAATATCTAATAATTTCACCCAAAGTAATGCATTGTAATTTCAAACCCAACCATCAAACACTGCATTCCACAACACAAAGTAAATAAATAAAAGAAGCTTAATAGGCATCACCAAGTCGAAAATGTTGGGAGTGAAAAAAATAATAACCGAAGCATCTACCATTATTTGCCCCAGGTAACTTGAGCTCAAAATCACCTCTGATAGCCCGAGCTTTTATCACTACACCGAGTAACCTGAATCAATAAAATTATTCACATAAAACACTTTTATATAATATATTTTAGGATTCAAATCACTAATATCCATAACCACGCCCATGCTTCATCTGGGAGGCATCATGACAATAAGGAGGCTCTGAGTTAATGTGAGAGCTCTAATCAGCCTTCCCAGATGCCCAATTATTTAATAGTTAAGTCATTTCATGTTAAAATTACACTGCACATAAACAGTAATTAACTGAAGCATTATGGATTTCTTTATATCGCAGAGAAACCCTAACAGTTGGAGATACAAACCCTTTCTGACTACAGAAAGGGTTCAGTTCAGTTAGCACGCTCTCGGAGCACTTCAAGATCCATCTCAGTTGGGTCAGTGGCCTGAATCTCATAGTGGATGCCCTCCAGCTCCCTTCTGAACCTGTCCTTGGATGTGGCATACAGCATCTTTGCACGGATACGGGACACAGAAGGAGACCTGATACATATTTAAAAGAAAGGAGGGGAAATCACTTTCACACTGACATAATGGATAAATCATATTTAAGATGGTGGTGTAAGACCATACCAAAGATAAAGAATGTCTATCTACTAGTTTTTTTTTTATAAATCTTCCCTTTCAATCTTTAATGGAACATACCAATCGAACATAAACCTCGGCGACTACATACGTGACAAAAAGTCTCACCTCGTGTGGGCCAAAGTGGTCACCCTGAGGAACACTAACAATACATTGTGGCTGCAATTTAATTCCTCATATCATTAAAGTAGCCTAAGTCAAAGGCTTCAATAGTTGTTTAGAAACCATATAATCAAAATATCATGCACACAATGAGATTACCACAAGATAATTCAGAGTAGATACTTAACAACGGTAAGTGCCGGGGATTTTCATATTTGGAAGTGTTGCATGGGGCAAAAGGTGAACTTCACTATACATAAATTTTAGGTAAGCCACTGGTTTCTAATGCAGAGCAAAGCTATGGATCCTCTACCATACATACATGAATTTGCCAGCCCTTTTTTGTGAACAAGTGTAAAATGCAGATGCATTATAAGGGTTCTAATTCTAAATCTAGAATTTCATAAGAAAATATACTCGGGAAAAAGTAAAAAGAAGGTGACCAATCTATATGCTCAATTTCATGCCAAGTTGCCAACTGTAAAGATCAACCACAGGATGCAATAACCACAAAGTTATAAGCTTAGGGTTTCAAAACGAATATGACAAAAAGAAAGCTAGATCCTTATGTGGAGATACTAGGGAGTAAGGATGTCATTAGCACCTGTAGGCAAACACTAGGTGGTAACATGAGCAAGACTTGATTGATATGCTTCACCATGATTAGGCACATTCAGTTACAGCTCAAAGAGAAGCAGCAAGTTGGCAAAAGCTGAATACTATGAAAAAGGAAAAACAAATAGAACAGCAATAGATCAAGCGCAGCAAATTTTATATTTTAATTTCTAACCAAAGGCTTGGTTTCTGACAATCTAGGAAGTTATAGTGATTTCAGTTTCTATGGCCCAAGTAATTGGATAATCGCTCATAACTATCATGGCATTTATGAACCTATTCCTGCCAGGCTGCCCAAAGTAAAACTTCCAATAGATGCCATTAATGAAGGTCATAATCCAATCTGAACACCGCTGTTGTACTCTTATATACTTACTCATCGATGATGTTTGGAGAAAAGCAGGAAGTAGGGAGAAGAATCATTGACACCATAAAGGTACATCCAAAAAATATATATTTAGAGAAGTAAATAATTAAGAACTAGAATGTGACAGTACATACCCTATCAAAAGTGAAACTGCTAAAATGCCAATAATAAAGATCACGGACCATAAGAAGACATACTAAAAGAAATGATAAAGGCTAGTTTTTAATGTCAACATACTATAAGTAGACAAGTTTAGCATGTCTGAAGAATGACACCATAGAAGTATACCCAGACTATACATTTGGTGAAGATATTAACAGAGATAACAGGGCTAACCAATTACAAAGACTCCCCCACCAAAACACACACACACACACATTTCATGCAAGGCAACCACATTAGGTTGTGACTGCTGTTTAACTTTCAAGAGAGGAAATAATTTGTTATGAAAACGGTGAGCATGAATGGGAACATCATGCATGTAATAGGTTTATCTGCTTCTAGAATGTCATCTGAAACAATTTATTTGCATTGATTGGCTAACATAAACAACTCACCATGCAATGAAAAAGATCTTGCTCTTTTGGCAGTTCTCAGAAGTCACAAAATCAAAGTCATAAACTGCATATCGGCAGTCATTCTCAGGCAGAGATGCAGTGAAGTCGTCATAGCTCTCAGCTGGACCTCCAGTCTTTTCAACTACGACCTCTTTTTTCTTCTCATCAATCTTAAAGATCACATAGCGATGGACCTTTTTCCTCTGCAGTTCCACATATGTGCTTTTGCTGTGATCGGCAACACCCATGCCAGAGGAAGCATTTGTCTGAAATGAAAACCAAACATGCAAATATTTGATCCAATCAAGATTGGTATGGATGTATACACATACGCACACATATATTGACATCAATATAATCTATACCATCAATAGCTTCTTTGTGTTCTGAAATAAAGGTCGAACATGCAAACGTTCGAGAGGCTATAAGCGTTCTCCAATTAAAAACATTCATTGTACAAGATTATAAAAAATTGTCATGCATATTACGGTCCATCCACAAAATGTGAGATGAAGTAAAGAAAAATGATTTTACAGGCTTCCTTTTCTTACCATCTCTTTGATTTCCTTTCATCAATTTTAACAGAACCAAATAGAGAAAAGGAAAGACTTAAAGTTGTACAAATTGATAGGCTCCAAATGATCAGGTAACTAAAATTCTGTGGGCACCTTTCTACTGTTATAATCCAAAAAAAAAAAAAAAAAGTTACAGACTTGTTTATTTCAAAGGTGGTCGCATTCCTTGAGCCAACAAATAAATTACCTCCAAAAGATCTTCAAAACACCATTTCCCTAAACACAATCTAAAGGAACAGTAGTTGCCAATCCTACAATGTCAATAATAAAGTCCTAGATCAATGATGCAACTGATCCAGCCAACGAAACCCAAAAAAAACACAAATTTACCACTGTAATATACCAAATTGCAGATGAGCAAGACAATAAATTTTACAATTCACATCAAATTGAAAGCCTGCAAGCCAGACATCGCAATTAAATTTCAATTACATATTAACATGCAAAGATAAATTAAAGTTCTATAGCTAGTAAAGCCATATAAATTGAAATCAATAATAATACTAAAACTCGATATAGTTCATCTCGTACCAGTAATGAAGATCTAAACAAAATTCACTCTATTGACACAATGAAAAGATAACACACAGCACCCTAGATTTCCTCAAAAAAAAAAAATCAAATCGGACATGAATTACAATAAAATTCCAGAACTATATCTTACACACATCATATGGAAAACCTTGCAGAAACTAGAAAAACTCAAATCTAAAAAAAATTCAAACAGATCGAACAAGATGTATAGAAAACTCACCCCTCTGAAAGACATAGCTACTGTAACCAGAAGAAGATAGAGAGGGAGTTTTAGAGAGATGTGTAAATTGAGAGAGAGAGGACAAGAGACTTATGGAGAGCAGAGTTAGTAAAAAGTAGGAGATGAGAGAGATATATCAACAAAAATTCTCTGCTTTTTAGAGAGATAGAAAGAGAGAAGATTCGTGTTTTGAGGGAACAGAAAAGAGGCGCGTCGTGTCTACAGTCTATTGTTTTCTGAAAAGGACTGCCCTTAGCACCTCACTTATCCAGTTGGTGGTAAGTACGCGTAGGGTCAATCTTATACTAAAATGTTAATTAGACACTTAAAGTACTTTTATACTTATCAAAGAACAATTTTAGTTTTACTAATTTCCCTTCACATTTAGAATAGAGTTTATTGTCGTTACACACACTTATAGAGCAAATGATATTTTAAAAATTAATTAATATATTACCTTGGCCAATTCTTTAGGACTAAATGGCACTCATAAAGAATTGGCCAAGGTAAAATATTACTGGGTAAATGAAGATAAAAAATATATATATATGTTCTCACAATTGTCAAATATATAAAAATCTCATTTCTTTCTATAATTATAAAAAATAAAAAATTATTTTTAATTAAAATTTAATATAATTATAATTTTTAATAAAATATATAATTAAAAATTTTAAATTAAATATAGTTATTCATTATATATATAATATACATTTAAAATTTTAAACTTTAGAATTTTCAATATATATATATATATAATTCATTTCATAGCAATAAATGGGTGTTCAATCTTTACTTCAAAAAAAAAAAAAAAAAAACGCATCGCTACGCTCTACTCCTTAAATTTTCACAAATAAATAAATAAATAAATATATATATATATATATATATATATATATATATATATGTAATTCATTACATATTAACAAATGGTTGTTCAATCTTTTTTAAAAAAATAAATAAGTTAGTGTTCAATTTTTACTGAAAAAAAAAAAAACAAAGGGTTGTTCAATCATCTCCACCTAAAGAGTGTTTTCCGCACCTTAGGGGTGTTGTTCTTTTTTATCATTTCATTAAATGACTTTTTAAAAAAAATTTAATGTGTAAATTGTTTCCATAAGGGTAATTTTGACAAATATCTTAAATGTGACCATTATGATTTATTTGCATATTTTGATACTTTTATAGGTGTTTTTCGTACATGAAGGATATGATATACTATAAGCATATTATAAGGGTGTTTTATGCATTTTACCAAAAAATGTTAGTAATGTAATTATATAAAGTGTTAAAAAAAAATTATGTACGTAAAAATTCATTCGGAACCTACAAAATATCACGTGTTTAGGTTTTTTTAAAATAAATTATTCATTACAAGTTACTATTTTTTCTTCTCTTATTGTCTTATATATTTTCATTTCAATAATATAAGACTAAAGAATTATGAAGTGTTGTAAATACTAGTAGGATTCTAGAGTATAGAAGAGCTTTATATAAATTGATAGATTGAATAAGATTTTCATTTTTAAAAGAAAAGACTCTATAAATATATTCATTTTAGTAGAGAGTTCTAGTAACCTGAGTTATATTCATTTTAGTAGAGAGTTAATCATGAGAAAGTAATGCCTATATAAATGTAAAAGTTATATTTGTGACAACAAGCTCCAATCTCCAAAACTTTAGGGTGAGAAGTTTTAAGTGGATTAATTGGAAGAGATCACATGAGTTAAAAATAAAGAATATGATTATTAAATTGTCCGTAAGTGACATCATATGATGCTAAAATTTAGAACCAAAGTACAAGTACACATTACAGTCAGTCAATGGACCATGGTTCAATTTTGTTTTGATCTATAAGTTATGTGAAAATCTGTTGACAAAAATATTTTGAAAATATTGCTAATCTTATGGGGAAATATATAATAAAGTTGAATTCTTTTTTATTTATTTTGATTTTCTCAACGGGAGGAAAACATGAACGCAGTTTAATAGATTTTTTAATTTTTGCATAATTTATTGAAATTAAATTTAGGTACCCATCTAAAAAAGAGATTAAATTTAGAGGAAAAATATGTTTATTATTGGCTGTAAATATTAAATTTTTTTGAAATAAATCTTTTAGTATGTTGCCGTATGAGTTATCCTTTTACTTGGTGTAATAATAATAGGAACGGGTTGGATCGGACTTTGGTTACGGTGGACTGACGACTTCAATTTTCAGCTGCTGTCGTTCAACACTTTCATGTGGTTGGGTCTGATCATGCAGTTATTTTGCTGGGTTTATTTGTTAATTGCAGTTCGAAGTGAAGAAACTTCATGTTTGATGCAAGACGGGTTCAAGATGAGGAGTGTGCTGCAGTTGCTGAACCGGCTTGGCAATTTGAAGGAAAAAAGAAGAGATGTATTGGCGCCAAAAGTCTCGGACGGGATGGTTGCTTCACGGGGATAGAAATTCCAATTTTTTTTCATGTTGTCACTGAAAATTAAGGAGGGGGGTAGAAATCTGATAAAAAGGACTGGACAACACCCAAGGAGTTTGGTTGGACGATGCTAAAGCAGTTAGAGGGGTGGCAAAAAATTATTTCCGTGATTTGCTTACTTCTTCGCGATGATGATCGAGGATTTCTGGAACTTGTGGGAACCAATGGTTATTGCTGGATGAATCAGAGTTTAATGCAGAAGGTTACGGAGGCGGAAGTTTATCAAGCTCTGATGGAAATGGCTCCACTCAAAGCACGAGACCTGGGCGACTCTTTCCCAACAATATTGGACTGTGGTGGTGGACTACTTGTTAAATGCTTTTACCCATTTTTTGGAACATGGTAAGCTTTTGAAAAGCTTGAATGCAACCAATGCTGTGTTGATTCCATATGTGAGAGTTCCTAATAACTCAATATAAGACCAATCTCGTCCTGAAATGTGGCTATGAGACTCTTACTAAAATATTAGCTAATCGGTTAAAATTATTGTTATCTCGTATTATTAGTGAAGAGCAAAGTGCTTTGTGTTGGGATCATATACCCTACAAGTCAATTATTTATTTTTTATTTGATATTTTATTAGTAAATATGATATTCATGCATTGGGCTTTACATATATTTGTATGAGATGCATTATAGTCTTCAAGTTGCATTATAGGTGACTTAAGTGTGTAAATGAGATTTACATACAGGAGATTTAGGTCACTAGTTTCTTGCACCTTGGCATTGTTTGCAGTCAGTGGTAAAAGTTGGGCACTTTTATTTGTAAGATTGTAACACATTTGACCTTTATAAGATAGGATGATTTGTCTCGACCATTGGGGTAGTTGACTCTAAGGCAGTGTGTTAGCGTGCCTGGAGTACGCTGAACTGGATTGATTACCATAAGATCACACTGTACTGTCATTATTTTAGTTTGTTTCTTATCTTCTAAATTCATAGGCTCTAAATCCTGAGGGATTTAGTCACTTTAACTTATCAATGTGTAAGATCCTTTTTAAGGTCAATACCATGGTATATATCTTAGGTGGCTAATGTTGGAGCTCTGGGAATACAAATGCTCAACATGGAATCCACACTTTTTATAAGAAAAATATCCCCATGATGCAATTTAAAAAGCTTGATCACTGGAACCTCGCCAGGGCATTTTAGTAAAATGTTTACTAAATTATTTTTCTATTATTTATTTAGAAAAATATTTATTTTGAAAATCCTTTTATAAAAGAATTTAATTCAGCGATCATAAGAATTAAATTAGTATATGTTTTCCTAGGGCTATTTATGGATATTCGGTAGTGGAGGGGTTTATATGTAATTAATTAGTAAATAGGGCCTTGTCGTAATTTTTAAATCCTAGAGTGTAATTACAATACTATCGTGGTGCTTATTGTAATTAATTAGATATGACAAAGTTATGAGATAACTCTATCTCTATCTAATTGGAGTTAGGATAAGAAGCCATCTTGATCATCATCCCTAGTCCCAGATATTATAACTATCTCTCTGGTCATATATTCCGTGATACGACGATACAAAATATAATTTTCGTACACTATCCAAAATATAATTTTCGTACACTATCCAAAATACAGAGTGTGAGAGAAAAGGTTAGGGTTCCACAGTCCTACATTGGGGTTATAGAGGTGAAGACTCATTGGTCTTCAAGGCCAAAGGAGAAAGTGTTCATCTATATTCTTCTAATTTATATGTATACTGAACTATTACAACACCAGAATTTTCTTAATTTACTTTTTCATTTTCTTTTACCGACTTCTTTAGTTCTATTTTCTTTTCCTTCAAATGAATCTAAGTCTATCTTTCCGAGGGTTGAAGCAAGAAAGACACTTCGAATATTTTTCTATTTATTTTTATTTGTTAGAAAAAGAGAGAATTTCTTAGTTTTTCCTTAATTTAAATACTCAATACAATATTTAATAAAATAAATAGGAGACTGGAAATGAAAGCAGAGTTTAAAGACAAAGAATAATGTTATTGAATTCAACGATTATTCAATCATCCAAAGATATGAGATCCCTTTACAGTATTTCTTGATTTGATGAAAAATCACGTAATTACGCTCCTAAATTTTTTTAAATGCTTCCATTGTGCCTTCACTTTGTACCAAGGCCATTATTAATCATTGATAGTATACTTATTGCACATGAGGTTGACCATTTTTTGAGAAGCAGGGCTAGAACGAAAAATATTCATGGCAGTGAAATTAGATGTGGCTAAGGCTTATGACAGGGTGGAATGGAGACAGGTGGACTCGGATGGTTATGGGGTCTGTTAGTAGTGTCTCTTATTCTTGTCTTGTTGAATGGTTGTGCAGGAGATATGTTTGTAATGATGGATAAGACAAGGTGATCCAGTATCATTTTATTCATAACTTTTATGTGCAGAGGGCAGTGACAGTGAACTTTTCTCTGGTATTCAGATGAATAGAGGCCCGAATGTATCCATTTGTTATTCGCTGACGATTCTTTGCAAATGACACGGAAGTAAATTTGTTGAGACGCATGCTGGTTCGGTATGAGAGAGTGTCAAGACAACAAATAAATTACTCAAAATCTTCCACTATTTTTAGTGCTAATGTCCCTTCAGATGAGAGGGCGGTTTTGAGTCGAAGGCTGGGAGTTCTCATTGGCGGCAGGCTTGACAGGCATTTGGGGTTGCCAGCTGAGATTAGCTGATCCAAGAAGCAGATTTTTATGTACGTTGACAAGATTAAGGGTTGGAAAGTTTGGTTCTTTTCTAATGTAGGGAAATAAATTCTCATTAAGTCTGTTCTTCAAGCTTTTCCCACGTATACTATGAGCTGCTTTAGAATTCGGGTTCCAGTTTGCAAAAGTTTGAGCAGTAAAGTAGTGCACTTTTGGTGGGTTGGGTCTAAAGAAGAAAGGAAAATATGTCGGTTAAAATGGGAGCAATTGTGAAGAAAAAAATCAGAGGGTGGTTTGGGATTTAGAGACCTAGAAGCTTTTAATACTGCACTCTTGGCTAAGCAATGATGGAGGTTTGCAGTAGAGGATGGTAGTTAATTTTCAAGGATATACAAAGGAAAGTATTTTTCTCAAACTTCATTTTTAGAGGCCAGAATCAGAGGTAACTCGAGTTGGGCTTGGAAGAACATATGTTCATCTAGAGAAGTTGTGCAACACGGTTTGAGGTATGGTCTGATCCATGGATTCCAACAACTCTTGCACATTTTCAAGCCTTTCTCACCTTGTGGATGCACTGTGGGAAGAGTCCAAGATTTGGTCGATCCTCACTCCAAATCCTAGAATGATGTGGTTATTTCTTAGTTATTTTCTTCCGATGAATCTAGCAAAAATTTATCAATCCCTTTTAAGTGAAACCAATATCAGTGATAGAAGGGTATGGCACTTTTCAAATGATGGAAGTTTTATGGTGAAGTCTGCATATAGAGTTGCTCTTGAGTGGTTGCAACGCGATGTTGGATCATTAATGGCGCAGTTGTTAATGGCGTTTGGGGTAAATTATACATGGTAGCTTCAGGTAAAGGCAAAATTGATTCATTTTATTTGGAGATGCATGCGTTTATGGGATTATACATTCTACTTTTGGAAAATTTGAAAAAACGTCGAGTTGGGAACTCTAATATTCGTTTGAGGTGCGATTTGGAGAAATAAACTTTTGATCATGTGATGTTGAGATGCCCTTATGCGGTGGTTATCGTATGGAAACATTGTCCAATCAGATTGGATCCTTTTTGTTTTCAAACATACTTCATGGCTGCAATGGTTTTGTGGTCTACTGAATTTATGGGAAAAAAGAGACTATATAGTTCTCTTTTTGAGTTTAATTGTCTATGTTTGCTTGTACTTATGGAAGGGTAGATATCAATTCTATTTTGAGCAAAAAGAGGTTGAAGCAAATATTTTGATGCAGTCAGCTATCCATCATTGGAATGAATTTCAAGAGGCCATTAAACTAGTTCATGAAGTTGGAGAGGGGAAGTCTTCACCAATCTGACGTTGTGCGATGGAAAACGCGGGGTTCTAAAATTAAATTTTGATGCTGCTTTTCAAGTGCAAACTAAGGATGCTGCTATTGGGTTAGTTCTTCGCGATTGTACAGGTAATGTTTTGAAAGCAGTCATCCACTTCTTCCCAAACGGTGGCTTCTGCACTCGTTGCTGAAGCCATGTTTGCAAGATTAGCTTTAAAACGGGCTCAAGCATGGGAGTTAATGTGAGATATTAATTCCTCTCTAAAATTCTGGTGTCATCTCTAATTTTATACTTTGCTTTATTTTATTTGTATGTGATTATCTGTTAAATTACTAAAATAAGTAAAATTAGTAACGATACAGATCTGTTTTACAAAACCTGAAACTTTTCTAGATACATTCCGTTGCGCACGACTCACAATTAACACAAGTGGTAATTGAAGGCGATTGCAGTTTGGTGATTAATCCGTCAAAATTTTAGCTGATATTGATGCTATTTGGGTGACATTAAAGTCTCATCTTCAGGCCATGCACGATGGAAAATGCTTTGGGTCAAGCGGCAAGCAAGTGGCGTGGCTAATAGCCTTGCCTAAATATGCTTTGAGAGAAAGACGGTGTGGTTTTCTGATGTTTTCTTAGCTTTCATATAAGAAATTTTTTATATGAATTGTATTTATATTTAACTTGTTCAATGAAAGTTTTATTGCCTTGTAAAAAAAAAAAAAAAGAAGTTTGATTTTCTTTGTATTTTAAATTTGGTCAAAAAATTAAAAAATGAAAAAAAGTATGGAATGATAAGTTTGAATGTCTTTAATTCATTCAAAATTTGACTACTAACTTCTCATTTTAAACAAATTTAAATTTGTCAATAAAGTAATTAAAGTAAAACCTTTTTTCAAAAAGTAATGTTGTAAGAGCAGATTAAAAATTACCAAATTTTCAAACCTTCAACGACTCAACCAAAATTATTAATGCACTCATGAGAGATCTAAAAAAATGAAGTGAAAAAAAAAATTAATAATTGTAATTAAATCTGCATGAGAAATCATTACTCTCTGTCGGTCAAAATATATTTTTTCTTTTTAAAAAAATGAAAGATAAAATAAAATAAAAAACCTTATAGGTAAGTTACTAATATAATACAGGCTTTACGGGCCGCTAACAGTGCTCTTTTCTTTTTCTTATCCAATTCTCCCAACACGCACTTGAAAGTCCACACTCGCTGGTGCCCTAGCCTTTTGTATGCAACAATTTCAGTTCTAGTTCAATCCTAAAGCTTGATAATAAATTTCGCTTATAGTTTTTCTCGTTATTTGAAATTTCGCGCGAACATGGAATCCGAAGGTAACCGTTGAAAACCCTAAACTTCTCAATTTTCATATAATTCTAAACGTTTAGCTAATTCGTTTTTGAAATTTCTGGTTCATTTCTATAATTTTAGGGCAACGAGCTTCAAATAACCCAAAGGTCATGCTCTCGTCTCTCATAAGCAAGAGAGAGAAGCTACAGGAGGAACTTCGTAACGTTGAGAAACAGGTAATTAAACATACCTCTAATTCCACACACACACACACACATATATATATACACACACACATAACGTTTGCATAAGTTTTGCTAGTTAGAGTCGAGGATTTGGCAATATGGAATTGATTTGTTTGCTTATTTTAAGCTGTTGGTGGTCTGTACTTATACGAACTTTACACTTTTTATTCTATGCTTAAAGTTGTGTGGTATTTACTTATCATTATAGGTTTATGAGTTAGAGACAAGCTATTTACAAGAATCGAGTCAATTTGGGAATGTGTTGAAAGGTTTTGAAGGGTTTCTTTCTTCAGCAAAAAACACAGCGAAGTGAGTGGCTTTCAACTTAAATATTTATTCAGCGCCATGAAATTTGCCAAGTGAATTTGACTGTCTATTACAATTATTTTTTTCTATTTATTATTTTGGTTATAAATACAATTAGATGTTACATTCAGGTTGTGGTTATTCTGAAGTTAATTATCATGTGTTACATAAACATTTTTAATTTCAGTCCCAATTGCTTCAATGGTCAATAAACTCAATAGTGAAGAGCAACATGAAGATTATATATAAAATTTGGGGATTGCTGTACTACATTTTTCTGTGAAGAGAAACATAAAGACTTCTATGCTTCACTTGAACCTATTTGTGATGATTATGGTGATACAAAACATGATGACTTTGGAGTTTGAACAAGTGAAATGTGACATGATGATTCGCTCAATGTGAGTCCTGAAAACTATATGCAATATAATCAGTTTGAAAATTGTTGTGAATCCATTGATTAGATACACTTTTTTTTTTTAATTCAATGGTGCGAGGTGCAAGAATATCTTTTAAAAGCAGCTTCTTTATTTGAACTTAAGATCACTAAGAATAATATTTTGGATAGGGAATAATGGAAAGTTATTGATGAAGAAGCATTTATGGAGGTTGGAGACTAAAGAAGGGCCACATACATTATTATGTTAGTGTCCTTATAAAAAAAATGACTATCTTAGTATGCTATGCATTTGCACTTGGAAAATAAGGCATGGAAGTAGGTGACAATTTTTTTGATTCATGGCAATTTAGCAAGTATAAAGTGGTGTTAAGGGTGGCCATTCATCAAAAACTTCGAGGATATATATGGAGCAGTATGATGCTATCCAATTGTGTGCATAACAACTATATGTTGCTTCATAAGTTAGAGCGATATGAAGCTTTCTGTCAGCAAGACTTCGATATTTGGTTCTTGTGGGATTTCACTCAAAATTATGGAAGCTTTGATAAAATCTTTGTATTTGGTGAAGATAGTGGACATTCGGGGAAAACATTGGAAAAATCCATAATTTTTCTTGAAGCTTTAGGAACTATTCAAGACATAATTAATTGGGCCACTCAAAGCTCAAAATATTCTTAAAAGCTTGTTTTCCCTCTAAAAACAATGATTTGTTGGAAGGAAGAAGGAACCAGTGGGAAGAAAATGAGCACATTATCCGATGCAGATTTTTGCATCAATATCCGAAAACTAAAATTTAAGATGCATGAAATTATGAAATGAATTTTAAAATATTGTGGAATTCTCCATATTAATTTCAAATGCCACCAAATATGAAAGATTTTCGAGATTATTTGGATTTCCATTGATATTTCGGAATAATGCCTGTAATTTCCAGCATCCACAAAAAGATTCTTCAGAATATTTTTGACTGTTAGTTGCATTAAAGTGATGAAGATATAAGTAGTCAATAAATAGAAAATGATCCAATGCATACTTATTGTCTTGGGATCTACATCCAGCAGTAATGATACTCACATGTTAATTGCCAAGCTTGTGTTTTCCGTTGGTTTCTTCAGTAATACAGTTTTTTTCTTCTAATAATGTTCTGCAGCCTAAAGAGGTCAAGAAAGTTTCAGCCTGAAGATAGGCTCTTTTCATTGTCCTCAGTTACCTCACCAGCTGTAAGTACCAGTTTCAGACAATTTTAAACCACTGGGTTTTCATAAGAAACTTCCTTTTGGAAGTCATTGCTTGCTGATTCACATCCCCCCTCTCTCTTGCATAATACGGTAGTGAATGCTTGTTAAAAATAGTCAGGCTCTCAATTTTATGGACTCAAGATCTGAAGTAGAAAATGAAAATGAAATTAGTTCACCCTTGGGTAGCTATTAGTACCTAGTAATCAGGAATTTATTGAATGCTGGCTCAGAATTGCACGTGGAACCAGAACATTATTAGTACCTAATAATGTTCTGCAGCCTAAAGAGGTCAAGAAAGTTTCAGCCCGAAGATAGGCTCTTTTCATTGTCTTACCTCACCTGCTGTAAGTACTAGTTTCAGACAATTTTAAACCACTGGGTTTTCATAAGAAACTTCCTTTTGGAAATCATTGCTTGCTGATTCACATCCCCCCTCTCTCTTGCATAATACGGTAGTGAATGCTTGTTAAAAATAGTCAGGCTTTCAATTTTATGGACTCAAGATCTCAATTAGAAAATGAAAATGAAATTAGTTCACCCTTGGGTAACTATTAGTACCTAGTAATCAGGAATTTATTGAATTCTGGCTCAGAATCGCGCGTGGAACCAGGCATTTCTGGCCTCAAGTTAGCCAGGTGGTTGGAGGCCAACTTAATCCTAATCTTATAGGTTGAGAAGGCCATAACACTCGAATCTTATTCTAGAATGGACTTTATCTTGGTCTATGAGTAAGACATACCTAAATGGACGTTTTGGAGAATAAAGTATCAATAGAAGGCAACATGAAACAAGTTCTGGGATTTGTTAATGTATCAAGTGGTTCCACAAAATCAAATAGGAAAATTGCTTTTTCCGAGAAACTTGAAACCAATTAGAGGTAGGGTGATTTTTCAATAATTTTATTTATAAACCTTCTAATTTTGTTAAATGTTCATCTTAAGTCAATAAACTTATAAATTATTAAGCATCATAGTATACGTATACTTCAGACTTCAACCTAGCCCCTACCTAAAGGGTTAGAGTCCTTCCTATAGATACTTCCCATGAGTTTGTCCCAACCATATGCTTGGAACTAGTTGGCTTTGTTCTATGGTCAAGCGATCACTTTGGTTGTGTTTCAACATTCACGATACAGATATTTTGTATCAATCACATTATTCATCTATGATTTTGTTAGAAACATATCTTTAATGAAATATCTGTGATGTTCCGAATTTTCACAAACCCGGATAGTTAGTGTGACCCGTAAGTTGACCTGACAACGGATCCGGAATGCGGAAGCGAAAACAAAAACAAATGCGGAAACAAAAAGGTGAAAATAGACCAAATATGCCCCCGAGGGTAAAATGGTCATTTCACATGTAAACAAAGTCTCAAGTGATGTACGTCATCCCTAAGACACAAACATGGCTTCCCATGAAGCCACGGAACATAAAAGAAACAAAATGCGGAAGCAAAGTTTAAAAAAAAAATAATGGCACAATGTTTCAGCATTTTTTTTGCCAGCACTGTTCACTGCTGTCAAAACACTGTTCTAAGGCATCAATAATAATATGAAAAGAATAAAAGATAAAGGAAATATACATGGAAACCAGTGGAGTCATTTAGCTCACTTAAACAAAAGTTGCAAGGGAATGCACTATGCTTGTGGGGTTTGGTTGACTAAGATGGAAAAATGGAGGTGGTTGTCTGAATGGAAGATAATATTTTTCTTTTTCGCTGTTTCATTATAAGAAATAGAAATGGAGTATGCGGCTTCATTATGGATTTAGGATGATCCCCATGGTGTGACCACAAAATAATTTGTAATATGAATCATTTGCTCCACAATGTGATTTACTTTTGGTTCAGAAAACTATTTTTTAGTTAACAAAATATCTTATTACCCCTGTCCTGCCCTTCTTTTTCCCTTTTTGAGTAGAAATATGAAATATAATGTATTGAAATCCAATGGAATCTGGAGTTTCATGGCTAAAAAGGTGGCACCGAATAGGGCAATGTTTGTGCATACCTACCCTTTTGTTGACTAAATTCATTTGAATCTACCAAATCACTTTAAAATTTTTAAGCAAGTTAAATTAACAAAACTCAATGTACATAGAGTAAGCAGCAAACGCTTACCTTGTATTTAATCACATGTTACATAATTGTACATTAGAGTTAACCATGTTCAAAGAAAGGGATTTACCTTCTGTAGCAAACATTATATGGTAAGGGGCCATTACTCGGTGCAATGATAAAAGTTGGACTGATAAGCATGAAGACATAAGTTTGATTCTAAAATCAACTATTTTATGCAAAAATATTGCCGAAGGATGTGGATTTTATTATCTTGGTCCACTGAATACATTGTATAAACAAATATTGTAGCATTCTATTTTCACCACTTTCCTTTTTGAATTCATTTTGTAATTTTGTCAACATCGAAAAAGTCATGAGCTACGTACTAGAAATCAGATGTGTCAACGAGTATATCACTTTTAAAATTTATCATTTAAGCACTAACATTGGATTTCCTTTAAACATTGACTATCTTCTACTTCTAGAACAGGATCAATAATTTAGGGCCACTATATTAAGTTAGTTTTACACACAATCGATAAAGTTAAACCTATCATGGGTAACCCAATCAGACATCATATGGTATTTGCTGAAGGCCGTTACCTTTCACAAAGTGGCAGATTCCACTACATATCTACGTAGCCATTTACTGGAAAGAGCTTGATTGAACTACCAAAATGATCTCATTCAAAAATTTCTAGAAGATAAGACAGTGGACACTATCTCCCAAATCAGATGGTATATATATATTTTTTTGACAGGTACAGAGGTGGTATATATTCCTCTACAGTCTACGCGAACCCATAAGAAGTCCTTTTTGTTTTTTTGGATAGGTAAGTTACTCACACACATCCCCTCTATTATTAGTATTATTATTTTGATAAATATACACTCCCTCTATTATCCTTAAGGGTGCTTGAACCCTTAAACTTCTATTTTTCCATGAGGAAATACCACTGACCCAAAGGTTCATTGGTATAAGAAGTCCCTTTGAAAATTTTCTAGCCTCTCAGCAACTGAAGGATAGTGAAGATGGACTTCACATCACTGGCAAACATTAGAGTACTCTTTTTAGGGTTAATCTACCACTCTTTAACAGAGAACTTTTTTCCCTTGTCAGCCTTCACTCCATCCTCTCTACCACTGAATCCCGTATTGGGCTCTCTTTAATGTCCTTGAGGCAATTCCAAGGAAGTAGGAAGAGATCCCAACTTGCATCCCCATTTCCTAGTCAGTCTGATCCAATCTTCCAGCTATGTTACATGGACTCTTCAAAAGTAGTTAAGCACATGTTGGACACATATTGCTCGGACATGGGTTTGGGATATGTGTCCACCACTTTTGGCTGGACATATACTTAAAAAGCATATCCAATCATTCAATTATATTATATTATTACTTTAAAATGAGTTAAATGCCTATATAAAACATTATACTAGATAAAAACATTACTTTACTCTAGAAAATGAAATAAAGTAATTAAATAAAATGAATTTTTAGCTGTGTCCATGTGTCCTTCTGTTTGGAGATTTGACACGTCCGACGCATGGATACATACCCGTATCCAATACACGTACCCGAGTCCATGTAACATAGACCTACATATTAGAAGTATGTGCACTCTTGGCTAAATTGATCATCAAATCAGAGGTAGCCTCAAATCACATTTGAATGCATCTAATGTGCAATAGTGGATGTCCCCCTAAAATGACGGTATCATCAGCAAAGAGGAGTTGAGAAGACTAATACAGAGTCCCTCCACACCCACAACCCCCCCTTCCTTTTATAGCAATCTCATACCCTTGCAGAAAACCACATCAAGGGGGAGAAGGGATTACTCTGATGTTCTCCTTGAGCTAGTAAAAGATTCCATGTGAGCATCATCGATAAGAACAGAAAATAGAAAAGTTGGAGCTTCAACCTCTAAACTAGTTTTCCTATTTTGTTGAAGCTGCATAATATTCATAAGATGAAGAAGGAATCCCCAATTTACGTAATCAGTAGCATTCTCAATGTCTAATTTGCAAATAAGACATGACTTCCCTCTTCTAACTCTAGCATCCACTCTCATTTGCTGCAAGATCTATCCGGAATATGACAATCCCCATAAATGCATTCTGATAGTGTCTGAGGTACAAGTTGGCCCACTACGCTCTCCATCCTATTCGCCGGGTCCTTACAAAGAGATTGTACATGTTAATCACTAAGCTAATGGGCCTGAAATCCCTCAAATCTGATATCTTACTTTTTCTTGGAATCAAGGCAATGAAGTGCGTTCAAACTACGCTAAAAGTCTCTGAACTTGTGAAATTTGCTCATCACCACCTTTAACATCGTCTGAATGGTCCAACAATGCTGCACTGCGTTATTCCTGTTGTCAATAACTCCTTTGACAGTAGGTTTTTGAGGTTAGTGTTCAAATCTGCGTGCGCAGATAGGCAAAGAAATCAGGAACATGGTAAGCTCTAACAAAGATGAACCCTTGTGTGTCATACAGCTTCCAACAGACACTGATAACCGAACTATCTGGTGCATGTGTATCTGTGATGTTGTGGTCCGAATTTTGTTCCGGTCCAGGTTGTGTTGCAACCCAGTTTTGACCTGAAAAGAGTTTTGTGGGGGCCCAAGGCCAGTTCAGGGGCAGTGATGCTGGGGAAAAAACATTTGACCCGTTTTTCGTTTGCATGCCTTAGGATCCTATTTAGTACTCTCTTGTAGCCCGGTATACAAGGGCGTATAGGGGTTGGAGTGGGATAACAAGAGAACATTGAAGATCGCAAGAAAGAGAGTGAGAGTGAGAGTGAGAGTGAGAGCGAGAGCGAGAGCTAGGGTTTGGGGGCTGAAATTTGTAATCTCCTGTTTTTCTTATCATGGACGGAGACCTAGACTTCGAACCACGTAAATCTTTGTGTGGCCGGTTTACTTTTCTGTCATGATTCTTGTTTTGTTCTTGGTTCGCTACGTTTGTCGTAACAGTATCCGATGCCAAACGTAGTGCTTACCTGTATAGATTAGAATTCACTCCAGAATAATGTGTGGCTTGTTATGGTGGATCTCACACTGGCAGCAAGATGGTTTTCAGGCCATATGATCCTGTACTCATTGCTCAATATCGAAATGTTACATTAATCAATTAATTTAGTATCAATGTTAATTTTTTCAAGGGCTTACTTTCTTTTGGCAACATATGTTCATAATCATGGAAAATGAAAATTACAGAACTTGATGCTGAAATGCTGAAAAAGAAAGTTTGCGAGTTATGAGTGTAAACATTATTTGCTAAACTAGTTTGTGGTACTTCAATCTCTCACAAGCTAATCTGGTTATATTTTGGCCAGAAATAACTTCTCTTGTAGGCTGAGTGGTTCATCAATTATTATCAAATTGTTGTTTTCAACTTTGAGGATTTCTTCTCTGTTCGTATGTTTTATTTTTCTGCTGCTATTTGATTGTTGTTTTTCTATTTAGTTCTTTTCCTTTCTTCTTTCTGTTATATCTTGTTTGTTTTACACTTCTGTAATCTTTCTGTTCCACCACAAGTGGAATATGTAAAATGGACGTGGCAAATTTTCAAATATAGTTGGGATTATCTTTCAGATCTAAAAAAACTCCTGTTTACTTCATTTGTTTATGTTCAGGCAGAAGAACAAGGAGTTGGAAGAGATGGTGAGCACTTGTAGCACATCTAGAAGTATACTTTACCTGTTACTGACTGACCATATTTCTTGCTCCTCTTTTCTGTTCATTTTTAGATGGAAGATCAGATTTTGGTCCAGGTAGGCCTAAGGGCGGGGGCTTAGGCACAAATGGACAGTAAGTACTCTTATTGATTCCCTGAAACCCGAAATATCATAACATCAATTATTTTAGTTTGAAGAGATTATCTTCTCAATGATGTTGCATAAAGCGTATGATTGATTTGGAATTTGCATCTATTAGCATTTGTATTCTCACCCTTGCACAATGCATGTTCTTTCCATAGGGGAAAACCAAAGAAAGGAAGAACGGGACCAAGAGATGGAAGGAAGATTAGGATGTCAGGTGATTTAGACCTTGATGACGAGGATGATCCTGATTTGAGCTTGAGATAATGGCATTCGTTTGTAAGATCTGTAATCCAAACCTTAAATCTCATGCCCAATTCAGTTGAGAAGATTTTAATGTTCTATAATTGTAGGATTGCTTCTTGTAGATGACTATACTGTATAATGAGTTGCACGCGGTGGAAAAACGTCTTTAATTTATTTCATCTATTTGCATATTTGTGGGTGGGAGATATTGTGTTCTGATTTTTTTTTTTTTTTTTGGTAACGCTGTAATTGTAAATGACCGAAGTGGCAATTCCGTCGCTAGGAAATGTAAGAGTTAGTTATTATACGAATAATGTGATGAAATCAAGGGTAATAAACAGAATGTGTTTGAATTTTATTGGGGGTTGTTGTTGTGGAAATGTAGAAATTTGCCTTCATTTTTCTGTTGTGTTCCATAGTTTTGCTGATGATTCTAGTGGTTATTAGATGCAGTTAGTTTTGGGGTCAATGGGCCACATAACATAGCATATAGGTTTTAAAAGACACCCAAAAAGGTCAAAAGAAATATCTACCATTAGCAAACCAAAATCCTATTGTGATCAGTGATTTTGAGTCTCTCTAATTTCTTTTATTTCATGATTTTAATTGGGTACGAGCCCATTTTTATATAGAGCCCATTTTTATATAGTAGTGTTATTGCAAGATGTGCATAGCCTTTGCTTTGGTCCTTTGCTCCTTATGTCTTGTTTTAATATCATGTTATGAATTAACCCGTTTTGGTGGTTTTGGTTTTTGAACTCTCGAGTCCTGTGTCAAGGTTTCAAGACTAAGTAGAGAAATGAAAGAAGTGTTACGAACAAGTCTACCAAATTAATTTCATTAAAAACAGATTTCCGTTGCTCGGACAGAGACACAAGCTTACATAATTAGAGTAGTTAAAATACTACCATAACACGGATTTACCTAATCTCTCTGATCATTCTTGTTGCCAAGCTTGATGCATTCAAGCTTCTGGATAAGACTGCTTTAGTGTTATTTATATATACTCAATATTGTTGTGCTGGACATGAATCATTCATAAATTGAATAAATCTTCGAAATATTATATAAAATCTTGTAAGTACGAGTTGGTGAATTTATTAAATACAAATGTCAATTCTAAGCCGGTTAACAAAATCACCATGTCAACTGGATTTGTTGGGTGAATTAATATGTGAATATAGAAATGTAACACCAACGTTAATACCTAGCTAGGTTACGTGCAAATCACACGTTAACGACATGATCAACTAGTCAAATTTAGATTAAAATTGTAAAATAAAATATTGATTATCAAGGAAGGATGACTAATCTGCGTGAAGTGACATGATGAACTGGTCCCTTACCAGAAAAATTCAAAATACAAATAGACTCCGAGAAAAGTATACCCGACCCGTTACTAATGGTATCGAATAGCCAATGACATACTGACACGGTAGATTTGTTTTTAGATTATGTTAATCACTTTGTTTCTTCAGAATTAACCTTTTACAATTTTCTGTGTCATTAGGACCATTACTTTTAGGTTTTAAATAATAATAATAATAAAAGGTGGCATGAAATATCTACATACGTATTCCACTACAAAAGATTAGTGTATTTTGCACTGATGTTTCTTGGGTGGCTCACAATGGAGGAAATTGCCTAACGGATAAAAATATTATGTCATTAAAATCGAGAATAAAAGCCATCAACAATCATTAATTATGTGACTAACCAATATTAAATAAAGACTAGTGGAATATAACTTAGACTAAAGAGGATGACTAAATTAAATCAAAACGTGAGAGTCATACGTTGGGCTGATTAATGTGGATTAGTTGAGGGTAATGAGGTTTAACTAAAAAACCACCATTCATTTATAATATGTATGAATTACATATTTTATAATCATTCATGAATTGACCCAAATCCATGTTGGCAATGTAATTTCTTACATATTTCTAATTGTTAAGTTACTCACACTGAACACTTATAGTGAATTGTCTCGAATAATTTTTAATTAGCTATTTATACTTAAACACAACTAAGTGAAGGATTTTACTTCCTTATTTGTTACATAATTGACCAATTAAAAGAGTATGTCTAACAATTCAGTTCAATTATTAGGTACAAAAATCATTTTCCTTATAATATTTATTAGTGAGTGTTAAATTTTTATTTATTCTTGACTAAATGAATGTTTTATAACTTTATTTTCATAACTTAGTCCATTTTGGAATTGGTAGTTAATTATGATTATTTTTTTTTGACAAAGTATCATTGACAAATATTGTTTTAAGATGCTTTCTCACATATGTAATAAAAGCGCATGTTGACAATATGTAATTAGTTCTGTGTGTGTGTGTGTGTGTGTGTCAATTATGGTTACTTCCAAATTATATATAATAAATTAGATTTACATCATCGAATTACATAAATAAGCAAGCAAGTTGATATATTTGGAGATACAATACATATACATACACATGCATGTGAATACAAAATGAGTAGCCAAAAGTTGACTTTGACCAGTCGGGGTCGACTCGTCAAAAAATGGCACTCTCTTATTGTTTGGCTACTCTCAACTTAGAAAACAATTCAATGTTTTACACTTGGGTCCCAATCACACCTCAAATCTGGTCAATCATGATGAATTATTTTGTACTTCGGTCCTAAGTTATAAGTTAACTGTACCACACTAATAGTACTAGCTCATAACTCAATATTATATTTTTATACATGTTCAAGCTCCTCAGTCTTGCCCATCTTTCTATTTTTGAAAAGTTAAAATATTATTTATTTATAACATTACTAATTTAATCTTCTTATATTAAACTTATAAAAAATGTAAATTATCACATTATGTGAACTCATTATGAATATATTTGAAAATTCATTTAGTACTAATATAATAAAAAAAATATTAAAATTCATCCTCTTAGAAAGTTATATTTAAAAAAATAAGCGTTTAATTTGGGACGGAAAGAGGATAAATTAGTCTCCAATCCCCACTCAAAGCAAGACAAAATTCGGGAAATTAAGGCTATTGAGCGAATGCGTGATGTCAAGAGAAGTTGTTATCAATTATATATGTGTGTGTGTGTTTATGTATATGTGAATATCTCCTAATTATGTAGACATATTTTAAAAACGATAAAAACAAAGAACGTGTGAAACGGACAATATCTATATCACGGGACTGCGAGAGAATCAAATGCATGAATTTGATATCTTTAGGCCTCTAGGTAGGGTCTTGTGTTGGGTAAAAAAAAGAAAATTAGGTCGTCTTTACTACTGAAGCAATGGACTGGGTGTGTGTGTGTTACAAAACAAGTTTGCAGCTTGCGGAGGGTGGAATTTTGAGCCATCTTAATATTTTCTCCTTTTTCATCTTCTTGCGTTCACATTCTATATATATATATATATATATATATATATATATATCTATGATCTATGTTAGTCATCCCTATATGTCAAAGATTTGCGAATTCAAAACTCAAGAGCGACTACTGTTTTGTCATTATCAGATACTCTAATCATGATCCTGTTGACATCTATGATACTCCCATATGTGACCATATACAGAAAGACCATAAAGACTACAAGTTTAGAGAGAATCGGAAAAGAGATTGAAGCATTAGGATTATAATGTAACACCTTGAGTACTGACAAAAGGCTTGCTTAACAGGTCATTATAATAAATAATTATAATTCATTATATTTACCTGAAGTTTACGCGATGTCATCTTCTCAATTATTTTTTTTATATATTTTTTTTTCTTCTCTCGTTTTATTCAGCCAATTAAATCTTTTGACTCTCCTAAAGTCACAAAAAGTATCATTTTTTAAAAATCTTTGGTGCTTGAGTCTTTATATATATATATATATATATATATATTTTAATAGCAAGGTTTTATTTATTTATTTATATTTTATCGATGAAAGATTTTTCATTGATAATGTTTCTCAAACTTAACTATATACGTAATTGAGTACAGATCTTATTCCATACATTCAAGAAAAATAAATCTTTTTAAAATAACATTGTTTTATTTTATTAAAAACTAAATACTATAGAGAGAATTGGAAAAGAGATCGAAGCAGGTGAGTAAAATATAAAGCCTTGAGTAATGATAGAAAAACATAGGCTACTATTGAAAACAATTAAAGTTTTATTATATTAATGTGAAGTTCGCATGATGTCATCAATTCATGACATTATTATTATTATTATTATTTTCCCTCTCTTTTCCTTTCATCCTATTCAGTTAACTCTAAGTAAAATTTTTGAATTCCAAAGTGGCATAAAATATCTTTTTTGTAAAAAAAAAAAAAAAAATCTATAGAGCTTGAATCTTTATTATACCAAGTCTCACTTGGGAGACTATTTAAATTAAACCAATTTGGATAACTTATCCACTTAATTTTGTTTGAGGATTAAAATATTTAATTTTGTTTGAAGATGTACCAACTGAATGAATCTCAAATATTTACCCCCACAAAAATAAATAAATAAATGAATGAATGAGTCTGATTTGTACCACAGTTGTCTGATAAAACTATTAATAAATAATCTATGGCTGACTATAATTAATGAAACATGCTCAGTGCATAGACCCAATAATATTAATGATGACTTTAAAACACATAAGGAATTAATGGTATTTGATGCTGAGAAGGGACACAACTTACGTCATACAGAGAGCTTAGTAGTGTTTAAAGCGGCGCAACTTATGTCACACAAAAATTAAAGTGTAAAAACGATACAGCGTAAAACATGAAAGTAACTTATTTAAAAAAATTAAATAACTTATGGCACAACATAATATCGAAAACTATTATAAAGTCTCCCTAAGATAAATAACATTATTTCTTATAAATTTAGTAAAGCTCCACCAAACAATCTCTTAATATAAATTACTCTGAAATAAAAATATTGAAATTCAGTTGAGAATCACTCCAAAGGCCACCTATTAACTTTAGCCTAGACGATATAAGCTATTCTTAATCTATTTTGAGAATGTTGAGTATTAGATTCCCAAAGAGACAATAAAATTTTGTAAAATCTTATCGTAATTAATTTTTCAACAATCCATTTAACGCATGTTAATACTTTTATAATCAGTAACGAGGTTAGAAAAGGATATAGAAAGAAGGCGATTGTGAACAATAATCAGATAATTTTTTTTTTTTTTTCTTCTTCTCAATAACTTTAGCTTAACAGACATTTTCATTTAAAATTATTCATATACTTTCATTTCAATTATTTTTTCAGTAAATACTCCAATATCAACATTATCAAGCTAGCATATAAAAAAAAGTCCGATAAAAAAAAACTCAAGCAAGGATCGTGTTACTCATAAAATTTCTAATTTAGAAAGGAAAAAATAAGTTGGGAATTAACAAATTTAATATGATTAATCTTGAAAAAAAATTGGTAAGACCAAGATGATAATTATAGGCAATCTTAGAAAATTTGTGGTCGACCCATTTTTAAAAAGTCGGGAATTGTGAAATTTAAGGTGAGAAAAGAAGAGAGTGACATGGAGGAGGAAGTCTAATACGAGCACACTCGCTCAGGGAGTTGAACGCTCTACCAATTAGATCACCAGGTAATGATCGACTTTGGAACAAGTTTGTAAAAACATATTTTGTTTAAAAAGAAAAAAAAATAATAGGGCATTATTTTAGGAAACAATTAAATCACGTGGGCTGAACAAGCTAGAGTAGGCTTAATTTAGGAAACAATGACAATAATCAAAATGAGTAGATGTTACGTTTTAAATCAATCCATTTGACCAATCATATATATCTCTCTCTATATATATATATATTACTCTCACTGTCCATACATGTCGTCGTATAGTTTTCTTAATTATGAAGCAAATCAAGAAATGAAAAAGTCGTTTCACTCAATTATAGTACAATCCATTCTAATTATATTATGAAACTCACTTCGAGGAAGTGACACAGCAATATTCATATGATAAGTTTGAAAGTACAAAATTCATGCTTTGGAATAAAAACAAGAGAAAAATTAATTTAAAATTTGCTTTGGAATCAAACTACAGGTGAAAAAAAAAAAAAAAAATTTGAACATACTCAATAATACGAATTTCAAAGCATCCCAGTGCATGAGTTCAATGTTACTCCATTTATTTCGACCTAAAACATCTTCTCCTTTCTTTTTCCTTTTTTTTTTTTTTAAAAAAAAATTTAAAGCCAACCACCAGAAAATAAAAACATTTTATATAAAAAAATATTTGATTGCAATGTTTGAGGTATACTTGTATTTCCCTGAAAAAAACATTTTATGAGATATTTAATTTCTACCATTCAAATATTTCAACTTTCATTTTGGAGAACAAGAATTGAATTCTTTAAATCATCCGTGTTTTTATTTTATTTTATAACTGTCCTTTCGGGGAAGGGCATCACATGCAGATCGAGTGAAATACAAATTGATATATATAGAGTGATTAAGCAAATTAAAAGATATCCTATAGTATTGGATAACATGGATCTTGACCATAACAAGTCAAGCTATTTCATAAATGAATGGAATTAGTTTAGGAAGCTACACAGAAATAACTTGCTAGTAAATTTCCTTGCTAAGAATAGTATGTGTATAAGACTATAAACACAACTTGCAGCACACATATACATGTAAATATCTATTTACAATTTTATAAGATCCATGCATATATATATATATATTTGCCTCATGCATTAATGGGCCCCCTCACTAAGTGGCAATTTATTTAATCTGATAATCATTTTAAACTAAACGTATATGTAACTGTATGTGTGTGTGTGTATATATATATAGCCAAAAATATTATGTATATAATATATATATATATATATGTATATAAATAAATATGTATATGGAGAGCTAAAGATCCTCTTTCGTGGAAATTGCATGATAGACTTTTTATATTGAGATGCTGTCTTCGGACTACTTTTTAACTCTATTGACTTGTCCAATATCTTGAGGATAAATACCCACTCTTGGCCTATTCAAAACACTCTTGAGCTTTGGGGTCGATCTCAATTCAAAGATTACTGTGTGTGTCTGTGTGAGAGAGAGAGAGAAGTTAAAAGGACAAGTACTAAAGATGGTGAGAGCTCCATGTTGTGAGAAGATGGGACTGAAGAAAGGGCCATGGACTCCTGAAGAAGATCAGGTTTTGGTCTCTTATATTCAGCAACATGGCCATGGAAATTGGAGGGCGCTTCCAAAACTTGCCGGTAACTTCAAAATCAAAACTGGTTATTCTCCTCTATAAATGTTTAATTAGACCATGAATATATATATATATGTATATGTATGTATATATATTTGTACCAATAACTTGCCTATATATATTAATTAATTTGTATAACATGAACAAATGGATACACTATATCAGCTTAGTTATTTTCATAATGAATTATGCATGTGTACAAGACTATATATATATATATAACAGTATTATGGATCAACAAATCAGCTCAAGCATATCCTATAAATTTTGTTTTCTTTTAAAAAATGTTTAAGTTAGGTTAAGATTGCTAGCTAGATAGACTGCATGTTTGAGATATATACACACACACACAACATTAGTTATATTTTCTATGAGTTTTTTTTTTTTTTTGGAAAATATATTTCCTATGAGTTATTTTTAAAAAGATTTGTTTTCCACTGTTTTTAGGTCTACTGAGATGCGGAAAGAGTTGCAGACTCCGGTGGACGAACTATTTGAGACCAGACATTAAGAGAGGAAATTTCAGCAAGGAAGAAGAAGAAACCATCATTAAGTTGCATGAAATGCTTGGGAACAGGTGTGTATCAATGGACTTTTCAATCCTACAAAAATAATTTCCTTTGCTAATAAATAAATTGATTAAAACCATATATACCTTTAATTAATCATCATGGTTAGAGTCATCATATATATCATTATAGAAAGATTCTTCACATTTATCACAATTAGCAGCTTTAATCATCATGTTTAGATATGAATAAGAGCAAAATCTAATTAATTAATTAATGTGGGATCATATTGAATTATATATTAAAACTATAGGGATAAGCTTACGATTGGGCACAGCCATCTGTATTGAATGTCATGACTTTTTTTTACTCCGATATGAATGAAGCAACAACTTGTCTTTACATGTGGCCAGGACTTAAAATCCAAGATCTTCTGTGTCTCTATCTGTCTATATATCATATATATATATATATATATATATATATATACATACTATACATGTATGTATATATATGTAGGCATCTTTGTGTTGTTTTGTAAAAGAATAGTAACACATGTAGAGCTGAAAGATTCTCTATTGTGTCATAATCAGAAAATCAGGCCTGTGTATGTATAATGCTGCGTAATAGTGCTTGAGCGCATCTATGTATCTATGCACATATAGCATAAAATCTTTTTAGCCTATTGTGTATTAATAATATATATCAAATGATTTTTAAATTATATTAAGAGATAAGCACAATTAAGCTTTTATATTGCCCTCTACTGTATACTATTAAACATAAATTAATGCCAAACTCGTGCAAATATCTTAATGCAAAAATTGTTCCTCCATTAATTTCAGATGGTCTGCGATCGCAGCGAGATTACCGGGACGAACGGACAACGAAATAAAAAATGTATGGCACACCCACTTGAAGAAAAAGCTCAAAAACAACCAGACTAGCTCAGACACCAAACTCAAATGTGATTCCAATGTTCCAAGTGAATTCGATTCCATGGAATTAAATATTCCTCCTCAGGAGGGAATTGGGAGTCCACAACCGTCTTCCAGTGAAGTCTCATCGGTCACAGACATAAACGTGCAACCAAACAACATGGCCATGAAAATCAAGGATGAACAAATTGACAGTACTTGTTCATTAAGTATTTTCCCGGAAATCGACGAAACTTTTTGGTCGGAAGAATTTTCGGTCGAGAATGAATTACAAGTCCAGTTTCCATTATCTCCGGTTAGAGAAGCTGTGAATGAGTACAGTTACAACGTTATTGATGATGGTGGCATGGACTTTTGGTACAACCTTTTTCTAAGAGCTGGAGGTATACCAGAACTATCAGAATTTTGATCAGTGTTTTGGTTGTATTATACACTTAAGTAGTACTATATAGTATTTAGGAGAGTTGGAAAATTTGAATTTTTCTTGGAATTGTTGACAAATTAACAACCTAGGGACAGCATATTCCAAGGTGGGACAAAGTTGTCCAATTCCAAAAGCAAGAACCATTCATTGACTGCACAACACTAGTCTACTATAGCGTGCATGATTTGTAATTTTTAAGGAAAAATAAAAATGGAAAGTTGATTTGAAGGGCCAACATGAGAATAAAGTTGACATAACTATTTTAATTGCTTTGTATACCTACATATTGAATGACTTGGGTGAATTGAAGGAGATATATATATATATATATATATATATAGAGAGAGAGAGAGAGAGAGAGAGAGAGAGAATTTGTATGCTGGGACTCTGATTCCCACTCTAGACCCTACTAACCTTTGTTAGTCAATTTTTAGGTGTTTTGTGCGAAAACTCTGATGACATTGAGTATCTTGAATTTTTTTTTGAAGAAAATTAAGTAGTTTAAGTTTGTACATGTATTTTTTTAATTTGCAAGATGGCTCAAGTAATATGAAAAGATTGATATACTTTGCAAACTTCATGAATTGAATAAGTACGTAACGACGGTAAGTACCATAGTCTCAACGTACAATCATTAAGAATTTTCTGAGTGGTTTAAAGGAGATTCAAACTCACAATCTTTAATATGTCACGTTTGAACATTTATTTAAAATTGAAAACCATGATTAAATCAAAATTTTATTATTTGTGTAAAGTTTGATATCGTCTAAAAAAACCAAATATGTAATATATACCTATCTCTTAGCATTTGAACTCTCAAAATGATGAGAAATGCTTCTTAAATTCATTTTATTTTCACCAATATTTATCATGAACGGCCTTCAATTTGAGGTTGAATAAAAAGCCTGTATCAGACAGAACAAGTTATGTGTTGAACATTACAATATTTTCTTTTAATACTTATGATCAATGTTGCCACAATATAATTTAATTTTGAACTTTCGAGTGGAAGTGTGATGGTCTCACAACAAATTTGGATTCTTTACAGATAATTTTGCATGTCTTGCAATGATATTATCCATTTTAAAAATATGTAGAAGTTCGGGAATTCTTTACCCAAACTCAAAATTTGCCCCTTTTAAAAGAACAACCTTAAATTGAACTTCTACATATTTTTAAAATGGATAATATCATTGCAAGACATGCAAAATTTTCTTTTTTTTTTTTTGTCTGCAAGGTTTTTTGTTTCTTAGATTGTTTGAATATGCTTTTTCGTTAGAAATAAGCATTAGTTTAGATGATATGATTTCACTTTTCCAAAAACAAAATTTTTTGCATTTGTCTGAACTTCCAAAAAAGAGATGGGGAAAAAAATAAAAATAAAACATTTAACATTTTTCTCCCTCCAAATTCACAACATCCCATGCATTGTGGTTGTACCTCCCTAACAAGCACAACAATGAACCAAAGAGTCTGTAGTGTTGCATATCCGCCCACATACACTCCTCCCTAACAAGCACAACAATGAATGAAAGAATCAGTAATATTGCATATCCGCCCGTATATACTCATTTCACTTTTCAACGAAACTCAATGTAAGATACTTCTAAAACTAAGGGACAAAATACAAAGGGACAAAATATACAATCAGGTTTGGTCTAAATACAATTAATATTCAAACTCTAAAATTGCTGGGAAATTTCTAACGTCCTTTTCTAGGGGAGATAATTAAACTCCATTTAGGAGCACAGACAAATTATGGTGTAGAAATAGTTTTGTCCAATAATAGTTTTTTATAATGTCCAAAGGGTCAAACTAAAAAGAATGAAAATTGTATGCAAATTAAAGCAGGCATTGTGAAAAAGATTCCTCCTCAAGGATGGCTTTTTATATATACTTTTAAAGTGTGTTATATTAACTTTATGTGGACATTCACTTACCACAAAATTAGTCAAGCAATCGAAATTATTAGAGGAGGAATTCACTGAATGTGGCTCGTAATCCCCTATGGTGTTAAGTCATCACCTGAATTTTCTTAGTCTTTGTTTGTTTTCCCACTTTTTCACTTCTTTTGAGTTGGCTCCTGTTTTTAGTATTCTTTCCACAGCAAAAGTTCTTGTTTTTTTGTTTTTGTTTTTGTTGTTTAACATGGTATGCTAGGAGCTTTGTTCACATCTAACAGATAAAATAGGAAGTAGGAACTAGTACTGCTAATAAGAATATGTAACCTCTTAATTTAATTTTTTATTACAATTTATAGGTTGAAGAAATATATATATATATAAATAACACAACCTACCTAGCCCTTAAACCTGACAAATGATAGAAAAGCAACAACAATAAAAAAAAAAAAAAAAAATTATACAAAAATCTGTTTGATTGATATTTTCTAAAAACTCACTTAAAAAAATAATAAAAAAATAAAAAACTATTTTCGGATTGACAAACGGAACCACCCCATATATTTCCCCTTGCATCTGGTGGATGTTACCTAAATTAGTCTGGTTGTGATTCTATTTCAAAATTTGGGGCTCACTATAGTGTAATCCTCCACATTACCTCTTTTATGTTAGTGAAATCCCAGTTTATCAAAAAAAAAAAAAAAAATCATATATTTGTGTATATATAGATATATTGAGATACTGGTCATTTCAGCGACATTTGAATCAACTTCTAATATCAATTTTGTCAGAAAAATTGTGCGCAATATACTGACATTTCAGAACCTAATTAATAGTGTGGTCCCTTTAAAGGTAAGGCTTTTTGAATTGATTTTCAGCCTCTTCCTTCCCTGAAGGCTGAAGCTAAAAGGATCTTATTAACTGTTGTTGAATCTTTAGTTTCCACAAAACACTATTGGAATGTGTTTTCCACATACCATAAACAGTTTAGTTAAACTTTGTCAAGGATGACACGACGGACAGGGACTGGCACCAAATCAAGAGCCGGATCCTCTATCGTTCGTGTTAGGGATGGCAACGGGGCGGGTTTGGAGCGGGTTTCCCTAAATCCCGCCCCGTTCTTTTTAATTTTTGTCAAGTCCATACCCGCCCCAAGATCCGCGACGGGTTGGATTTTCATATCCAACCCCGTCCCGTTAGGAAATACTCTACCCCCATGCCCGCCCCACTAACAAATTTTTTTCTCCCAATTTTTGGAACTTAAACTCCTGCTATTTAAATGTGCAAAGAATGACACAACATAAATAAAATTATGTATCTTAACAAAAATAAAAAAAATAACATGCACATAACATAATTCAGAGAATATAATAAACAAAAATAAAAGTTTAATACAACCAAATCACAAAAAGTTCTAAACTCCAACTTCCACCATAACCAAAACAAAAGTAAATTTAATACCAAGTTTACATCCCAAATTAGGATTGTAAGAGATGGGTAATTGGGTAAGCCGCTAAAATAACATATATATATATATATATATATATATATATTAAATATAGTTATATGCGGGGCGGGGCCCCTAGGATATGTATATTGAACCCTTACCCGTCCCGTGACCCTCGACGGGTACAAAATTTGTATTCATGTCCGCCCCAATGGTATAACAAGTATTCCCATATCCGTTATTAAAGGGGCGGGACGGGGCGGGGCCCCGGCGGGGCGGTAAAAATTGACATCCCTAGTTCGTGTACAGCAAGCAACGTAATGTAAACGGAATGAATAGGTTGAAAAACACACCCAAAAAAACATGTGTTCAAAAAATAAAATTGCAAATCGCCAATTTAGCCATCCCCTACTATTAAATGTCAATCCCAACGTGAATTATGAGGTTCATCATGGATGACATCGAAGTCGTCCTCAAACATCAAGAATTCGCCCAGAGGGCCTACAATTTGGTAGCCCATCATCTCCAATGGGCCACTCAAAATGGGTCCACTAACACACAATGGATTTCCTGGCCTTGGTGGGTTGTTAACCTCTTATATGTTGAACTTGTTTCGGTTGTAGTTTATTTTATTTGGTTGTGGAGAAAAAAAAGCTAACATTTCTACAAAACCTGAATTTTTTTTTTTGACAAAAAAAAAAAAACAAACAAACAATATAGGTTCTAAAAGCCTTCTACATGGAAGCACAATTGCAATTCAACTTTGAGCACCATAAAACTTAATCCAGATGGGAATAGCAGAAATGCAATCCCATGAATTGAGAATTTATGTGAGATACTGAAAATTTTGCATGCCTGACTTCAGTCAATTATTGATCAAAAAGAATATCTTACCATTCAAGTCCCAACTGAAATATGATCTTCAAATCTAACAAGATTTCAAAGCAAACACAGTCCGCCTAGAGGTAAGAGTTCCGACAAAAAAAATAAAAAAACACATACTATTATGAATCTCATTCAAATACCCAGTAAAGGGTTTCAATCCCCTGATAGAATTGTTCAAAATTCAAATATCCTCATAAAGACTGCACCAAGAGTACAGATCTATAGAAGCAGCCCATCGTCCATCATTATTACCCATTCCTCATGAATCCAAATAATGGAATTATTCAAAGCTGTAGTAGCTACTTCTATTAACACACAAAGCTCAACGCCTACTCGTTTCAGCAGTTTAAAAGGGAACAAGATATTCAAGAGAGGCAAGAGTATGCCAGAGTTTTTTCCTCAGTGAGCTCTTCGGCAGTCAAGTCCAACTTCTTCCTTGAATACTCATCAATTGATAGTCCTGAGACAAGTGAAGGAAAAAAGAGAACTGGTAAGATACCACCCACAAAACCTGGATACTCCGTATGTAAGAATGACTTAGATGAAAAGCAAAATAAGCAACATTGATCAAATATAAAACCCTTGAGATCTTCATCATGCATTTTTGTTAAATGAAAAGACTGAAATCGTCCATAAAGAATATCTGCATTTTAATAGACGTGTGACACGAGAAGGCAAAGCTGGTTACTGGAAGATATATATGTGTCGTATATTAAGCCCCGCCCACAAATCTAAATATAAAAATCAAGTTTAAAGCAAGAAAGGAAAACTTAAAGCATAAGGATGCAGATGGAGAAGACTGCTTAAGAGCACATGCAAATACATACATACATACAGAAATATATAGCACGAATACCTGTTGAAGTGCTTATATATTCGTATCAATCACAATCAATTTCCCAATAAACTAGTTACTTGTAAACTGTTAATTTGTCACCGTATGCTAGGAGTATGCTTTTAACATAAGCTACATCCTTACCTTGAACAATTTTCCAGTCTCCATTGCAGCAAGTAACTGGGAAGGAATAAATGAGCCCAGCTGGCACATTGTATGAGCCATCAGAGTATACACCCATAGAAACCCAAGTGCCCTACAATGTGCAGACAAAAGAAAAAAGTAAGCATATAATGATTTTCACTCGGCATGGCAATAAAAGAAAAAGATGGGTGTAGGATAATTTTCACTTAATATATCAATGAATAATAGACAAGAACTAAGACCAACCTCTGGAGTTCCCAGGACCCAGTCACGTATGTGATCACAGGCAGAACTAGCAGCAGATAATGCACTAGAAAACTTTCTAGCCTTGATAATTGCAGCACCACGCTGTTGGACAGTCTTAATGAATTCTCCATTCAACCTAACAAGGAAAAATGCACCAGCAAATATTCAATTAAAAAACTGGAATCCAGAGCAATACATGCGAACAAAAATCTCTAAACGGTAAGAATATATTTATTCTTTCTTCATACCACTCATCATCAGCCACAAGCTCACGGACGGGCTTCTCTCCCGCTGGTGTCTTAACAGTTGCATGGTTGACATCAGGATATTGAGTTGAGGAGTGATTTCCCCAAATGATAGCATTTTTAACGTCACATACTTGAACATTCAGTCTCTCTGAGATTTGACCAAGGGCCCTGTTATGGTCCAACCTTGTCAAGCAAGTAATGTTCTTCTCAGGGATAGATGGTGCAAATTCCTTCAGGATCAATGCATTTGTGTTGGCAGGATTAGCAACAACCAAAACCTGGAAAAAGGAAACAAAAAGTTTACTGTGAGATGCTCAAACAGTATTATATAAAATTACCTGAAAGTATTTTTGCATGACCAATAAAAATAAATTGACCCCCAATGTTCCAAAGAGAATTGCAATTTACCTTTTTTTATTATTTAAAATTTGAATGAGTAAACCGCATACAATTATCATTAAAACGATAACTATGTACCCATCATGATAGTATATTATCAACAACAATACATACAACAGCACAAGTTGACATCAATACAAGCACATTTTGACAGTAAATGGGTAGATAAAACAATCAGAAATTGTGCCAAAATTTCCACCACTAGTAAGCAGTATAACAAGATGCGCATAATATACATGTTCTATACATCACAGGGCCTCAATTCTTATATTTCTATTATATATATAAAGACACTGAGAATTTCCCATTGAATGAGAAATTAAGAACTTCCCAATAAATATGAAATATAACAAACTTAAACTATCAAAATTCTCAGTGTCTTTAGATATGGATACAACAGCACAAGTTGACAGTATCAATAAAAGTACATTTTGACAGTAAATGGGTAGATATGACAATCAGAAATTGTGTCAAAAATTTCCACCACTAGTAAAGCTATAACAAGATGGTGCATAATATACACGTTCTATACATCACAGGGGCTCAATTCTTATATTTCTATTATATATAAAGACACCGAGAATTTCCCATTGAATGAGAAATTAAGAACTTCCCAATGAATATGAAATATAACAAACTTAGACTACAGAAATGTAAATAGTTGAACTCGTGCAATTGCTTTCTCTATTTATTTTGAAGAACACTTCACAATATTCTGTATGTTTTCCTTTGGGTGAAAATCCAATTATTGATAACCTTTAAGTTTTCAATAACTATTATTTGCAATGGATCTGTTATAACTTCTAATGATGAAGGCTGCAAATACAAATATATAAATATATATATAGTGTAAAGAATCATGCTATTCAAATGCCATTAATTCTCATCTTCTGAAGAAGCGACAATCACCTTGCAGTTTGCAGCAGCATACTTCTCTAGAGCAGAAGCTTGGGACTTGTAAATGGAGACATTCTTTGACATCACATCTTTTCTTTCCATGCCCTCTTTCCTAGGAAACCCACCAACCATGATTGCAATGTTGACTCCAGTACAAGCCTCAACAACATCAGTAGTAGCAACAACACCTGATACAGATATCATGTTAGAGCCAAAATCCCAAATAAGAAATTTAAAATGATGCTCCATTCACTCCAGATCTTGTGGAGACGTGGAAATTTTAGCTTCAATTCTGTTTGGAAGCATGATAAACCTCACAACCCCAAAAAGGATCGGTTCAGATTGTGCGGGAGGTTCGAACAGAGGGAGACATGTATTACTTCTTGCCTTTCCTTGATGACAAAATCCCCTCATTATCAAACTTTCAGAAAAGATGCCTAATTTGAACTTCTAAATGTCATAACTGTATGCAAGCTGCAGATACTATAGATTATATAGTGTTTGCATGTAACTATGCAGTCTATGCCAAAGTAATTTGGAAATGGCCAATCAAATTCTACACTGGGATTGGATCCAAGTAAATTCCTAACATCAAGTGGTCCAGTCAGGGGCGGAGGCAGCATGTGCCCAGGGGGGGGCAGCTGCCCCCCCTGCCCATGCTGCCCCATTAGAAATTTTTATTTTTTATATATAAATTTGTAAAAATTGACACAATGCCCCCCCTAAAATTAATAAAATGGCCCCTCCGCCCCTGAATCCACTAAATTTTATTTTATTTTATTTTATGCGTATGATTTGTAAATATTTATAAAACACCCTCATAAAATTATCTATTTCTAAAAATGTATTTAGTTCTTTATTCCTTTTCCTTCTTATTCGTCAAATTTCTTTTTATTTCATTTTCTTCTTAAAAAATTTCTTTTTCTTCTTAAATTTTTTTTTTTTTTCCTTGCACTCATACATAATTTATGTGCAATACCCTTTTCTTTTTTTTTTTCTTTTCTCTTCTAATTCATTTTTTATTCACTTATTCTAATGCACAGTTGTTACGCTATTATTTTTTGCCTGCTTGGAAAAAATTATTTTATCAGTGTTAATATGCCCCCCTTGAACCAAATTTCTGGTTCCGCCCCTGGGTCCAGTGGTTCATTTCTCAGTTTAATAACAATACTCAAAGACACGAGTTTTGCAGGGAAAAAAAAAAAAATTACCATCACTTTGTGGAATATTTGGAGAGCCAGAAATCAGAACCTTCACTGTGGCACTTATCCAAGCCCAACAAACTGGTCTGGTCATTTATTTCTCAGTTTAATAAAAATACTCAAAAGACGCAAGTTTTGCAGAAAAAAATTACCATCACTTTGTGGAATATTTGGAGAACCAGAAATCCAACCTTTACCGTGACACTTCTCCAAACCCAACTCAAAGTGCCAGAATGATTGTTTGGGAGATCTGAGATGTTATGGGTTTTAAGATTGCTGATATTCATGAACTTTCATCTAGTAAATATGGCAACTAATGTGTATCATGTCTGGATAAGGCGGATTTGCTTGTGGGATATGCTGGAACTCTTTATATTGGTTACTTTACATGTAGATAAAATTCTGACTGCATTTATAAGGGCTACTTAATTAGTGCATGCACATGTCAAGGGTACTGGTTAATCATTTACCATTTGCAGTTTGAGGGTACTGTATCTTGGTTTAAGCCAATTCAAAATTGGTGGTCAGTCTATTGGTCTCCAGAGTTTCTTATTCCTTCTAGAGTCTGTTCTTACAGGAATGGTGTAATCTGGTTTTTACTCTTTCTATTTGCTGGATGTGGGATTTTTCAATCTTTGTGATTAGAGAAGGATGCCCTCTTTTAGCCTTGTATTGTTCTGTTTTTTTCTAAATAAAAATGTTTACTTTGGGAAAAAAAAAAAAAAACAAAAAAAAAAAACACAAGATGCCAACCTTTAAGGAGAGGAAAAGCGGCATCAACCAATTCCATTTTCACTCCGTTCAGGGCCTCTGCAGCAGGAGGAATATCGAGCATGTGGAGGATCACCGGCTGGTCAGCACCCAGCATCACTCCTCTGGCAATCATGGGGACAAGAGCATATCCAATTTGTCCTGCAAATCCAACAGGATAAATGTTGCTTCAAATACTAATGCAAAACCACCAAAGTGTTCTAGTAAATTTTATTTTCATTAACAATAACCATTTCATGCAAACTATACGTCTTAAGGTAACCAATGTGCACTGCTATCCATATAGGTTGATAAAACTCAATAAAAAAACAGAACTCCAAATCAATTTATGATTCACTGAACTGACCAACTTGCATTATCTAGTTTACTAAGAAAATTTAAAAAGTTAGTTTATGTTCGTATGTCAATGTCTATAACCTAAGCATACAAATCATTACACTCAATTGGTCTTTGAAGTGTTGTAGAAATTCATTTCTAAGAAATCCATCCACCATTAAAACTTATAAACAAAAACAAAAAAAAATTGCCACATAAAATTCAAATCCTCATTATGTGTTTTTAATACTTGGACCATCAACAAACAAGCAAAAAAAACAAAGGTTACCAAATACCACCAGAACATAGTTTACACTATTGCTCCAATTTTTTGACATAAAATTTTACACTGACAAAACAGAAAACTTCTTCCTACTCCTTTTATAATATTAGAGGGGACCTTAAAAGATTTCATTAATACTTGAAAATGCACACTATAATGGGTAATTGAATGTACACACTCAAATAAGTAAACATTAGACACGAATACAAACACTGTTACATGTGCAGATGTATATATGCACCTAAATGTGTTGTATAAATGAGCATACTTATCGGGATTCAAATTTTGGGGTGATTATCACCAACTCAAATTGATAGTCAACTCGGCAACATGATGCAATTATCTGATTGCAAGTCAAATACGTGTTGCCAGCAAGTTGGGCATTAATCAGACCTACATTTTCTATATCACCCTGATCAGCTAAGCTTTTCAATAAATCATGAGAAACTTCTCAATTTAGGAAACCAAACTACCCACATGTGATTTCCAGGTTTCCCAAACTAATTTCATTTTTCTCAATTTTTATTTTATTTTAATTATTATTTTTTATATATAAAAAGGTAGTAATTAACCCCATGATGAGGTTTCTTGTGGAAAAAAAAAGTTAAGAAAGAGAGCAGATTCATAAGAGAGGTATTCCTTTCACACCAATAACTAGTATGCATAAACATTATATGTATAAATAATATCAAAATGAAGCTAAATGCAAAATACTCGCTAAACTTATTCCCATCCTACATCGTTATCAGGATTGGCAGAGAAAACGTTCAAGATTTAGTAAAATACTCGCTACAAACCTTGTGTAAACCCTACTTTTTCAGAGGCTCAATCACTAGATCTGATCGCAACTGGATCTGCTAAACCCTACTTAACACTAAAAGCTCCATAAAACTAGACTACCAGTAAACGATGGATCGATAACACCAAGCTAATAGTGTAAAACTGAAAGTCCACTCCAATCATCGATCACTCACCGTACTCCGAAATCATTTTCTAAACCAAACCAAAATGAAAACAACTAAATTGCACAGTTACGTTTCATTTCATCAAATCGAAAGTCAACAGAAAAATAAAAGTTCACGGATCATCAGTAGACAAGATCTAATCAGTGTGCTAAGTAGACATGATTAACTCGTTTTTTGTACCAAAAATTTAGATTTGAGCCGTGTATCAGCAGATCTCTGATCGAATGGATAAATAAATGTGATGCTGAATGAAAAAACTGTTTTACAATCGTTGAGTACAAATCTGAAGTGATCTCAAGATGATTACAGAGGTTTTGGAAGTGACAATACCTGCAGCACCAGTGACGAGTACACGAACTGGTTCCTTCACCATTGTAGTAGATCTGAAGAAAGAGAAAGTGAGCTGATGCAAACGAAGAGGGAAGAGCTTATGAGAAGACCAACAGAGGTGTGTGATCGAAATAGTTGCAACAGGACGCGATATTTATGGGTAAGAATGTGATTTAGCCAGGGTAATATTGGAATGTGCAAGGGCAAAGCAGAGACGAAAACGTCGTCGTACTGTATCTTCTGACTCTGACAAGGCCCTGGATAAACATTTTGACATTGACTTTGCATTACAATATTTTTCAATAATGTATATGACTTTTTCTTTTTAACATCCTACTCTCTATAAATTAAGTGTATACAAAATAAGGCATTTAAATTGAAATGGAGATAATAATATTTTTCTAACGTGTATTTTCTTAAGGTGTATTTCAAATAATTTTCATTGGTTGGAACAATCAGGAGGATTTTGTTCTGGATAAAAGATAAATAAAAAAAAAGTAAAATTTTCTAATGTGGCGCTGGTGCCACGTCAGACATTGCAGGCTGAGCGGCTAGTAAAGGTTTGTTTGGACTGGTGGGTCCTCTTTCATCAACAAGTCAACCATTTTGTGACACTAATTTTTTTTTTTTCCACTATGACACTAATATTAGACCAGCTTGTTAAAGGGCGTGAAGCATGATATGTGCATAACTTCATATACGATATGGATATACTACCAATCCTTTCTAGTTGGTGATGTCATATTGTCATATCTAAATTTTCCTTAATTAGTGCACTTTATACTCATGTAATCAAGGATTTGTTCTTATATTATTTGTTATGTCTCAAATTAAATAAAATGTATTTTTTAAAAAATTTAATTTTTTAAGAGATGAGTTTTAATATATTTTTATTATATTGATAGTGAATGAATTATAAAATATGTCTATATACAGGATAAATTAGTAGTGTTAGAAAAAATAGTACTTTAACTTTTTAAATGAGATATGTGGACATTTAATCTGAGACGAAAGGAATAATATTTAGTATTTAATTGTAGTCATGATTGAGAATTTAGAAAATTTTAAGGGTCTCATTTTCTTATTCCATTCTTTTTCTTCAATGAGTTTACGTCAGATTCTAATCAATATGAATTGATGAAAGAAGAAAAAAATAAACTTGTTTAATGGTTTTTTTTATTGTGACGATTATCGTATTTAACACTCTTGAAAAAGATATTTTACTCATCAAGTACTGATTATTTATTGAAATTGCAAAAAAATACCAATTGACATTTGTAGTATTAATCATTGAAGAAATAAAATATTCCGCAACAAACAAAGTTGCAGTTCTTGTCTATTTTTTTATATATATATATAATGTTCTTTTCACTTTTTGTTTGATCTTTTATTGTACTACTTACACTAAGATTAAAATTATTATACCAAAGCATTGAAATTAAAATTGAAAAAAAGTTAGTTCTTGATTGAAATTTCAAATATCCGAATTTCATACGCTGATACACAATTTCGTTGTTTTGGTAAGAAATTCTGAATTGTTAACTTGTAGTTAATCTCATGATTGTCAATACAATTTCTTGCTTTTGAGAGTGATGAAAAAGACAGTTAATTCCCTATTTGGCAGCAATTTTTGATCACTCCATACCATACTTGAGTTCATGTAATAGTCCATATGTTTTCATGAGTCATTAAGAGACAAGTGTAGAAAACACCTTTATAATATATTTTACATAATATTTTTGTCCATATTTTAAAAAGTATGCAAAAAACATTCATAATCTTTTTACATTGTGTAAAAATATCTCCTCTGACATAAATTAGTGTTGTAATACTCGTTTTGCTTTTTTACTATTACTAAAATGCTAAAGGGTATATATTACTAATCTCATAGTATAGAGTTGTTATATGCACATTGCCTTATATATATATATATATATATATATATATATATTTGAAATTTTTTTTCTTTATATATATCTCTAAATTTATTTTTTTTTAAACTTAGAAAATTTATAAAATAAGGATTTGAATTTTTTACTCTTTTTTGCTAATTTTTTTTCTTCTTTATTTTATTTTATTTTCGTACCAACATTGTTAAACAAACACAAAACGAAACAAAACAAAAAAATCCCAATATCAATGTGTACTGGTTTTCGGAGTTTGGAAAAATTTTGTTTTATTTAGTTTGCACTTTTTTTTTGTTTTTTATTTTCTATTTTTATCTTTACTTTTTTTATATACTTTTATTTTTATTTTATATTTTTATTTTACTTGTTCATTGCCGACATCCTCCAATTGTATCATTTTTTGTCATTTTATAAAATTATTATTTTTTATAAAATGGTTCAATAAGGGTAATTTTGTCAACTTAGAGTTTAAATTTGTCAGATGGTCCTTGTTGCACCAGATTGAAACTGTATGGGTGTTTTTTGCACAAGAGGGAACATCCTTCAATAGTGTATTTCTTGTCATTTTATAAAATTTTTTATTTTTATATATTTTATAAAATAGTTCAATAAGGGTAATTTAGTCAACTTAGAGTTTAAATTTGTCAGAGTAACCTATTTATATCAAATTAAAACGGTGTTTGTTGCACTTGTCCCGTTTCGTTAATCTCTTGGCATGTTTTGATGAGCTTCCTGTAGCCTCAAAATGAGCTTTTAAGCACAGAAAATTCTTTTCGAATAATAAAAAATGTTTGGTAATTTTTCTGAAAACGGACTTTTAAAACGTCTTAGTGGTTTAAAAAAATAGTACTTTAACTTTTTTAATGAGATATGTGGACATTTAATCTGAGACGAAAGGAATAATATTTAGTATTTAATTATAGTCATGATTGAGAATTTAGAAATTTTTAAGGGTCTCATTTTCTTATTCCATTCTTTTTCTTCAATGAGTTTACGTCAGATTCTAATCAATATGAATTGATGAAAGAAGAAAAAAAATAAACTTGTTTAATGGTTTTTTTTATTGTGACGATTATTGTATTTAACACTCTTGAAAAAGATATTTTACTCATCAAGTACTGATTATTTATTGAAATTGCAAAAAAATACCAATTGACATTTGTAGTATTAATCATTGAAGAAATAAAATATTCCGCAACAAACAAAGTTGCAGTTCTTGTCTATTTTTTTTTTTTATATATAATGTTCTTTTCACTCTTTGTTTGATCTTTTATTGTACTACTTACACTAAGATTAAAATTATTATACCAAAGCATTGAAATTAAAATTGAAAAAAAGTTAGTTCTTGATTGAAATTTCAAATATCCGAATTTCATACGCTGATACACAATTTCGTTGTTTTGGTAAGAAATTCTGAATTGTTAACTTCTTGTTAATCTCATGATTGTCAATACAATTTCTTGCTTTTGAGAGTGATGATAAAGACCGTTAATTCCCTATTTGGCAGCAATTTTTGATCACTCCATACCATACTTGAGTTCATGTAATAGTCCATATATTTTCATGGGTCATTAAGAGACAAGTGTAGAAAACACCTTTAAAATATATTTTACGTAATATTTTAATCCATATTTAAAAAAGTGTGCAAAAAACATCCATAATCTTTTTACATTGTGTAAAAATATCTCATCTGACATAAATTAGTGTTGTAATATTCGTTTTGCCTTTTTACTATTCCTAAAATTATAAGGGGTATATATGTTACTAATTTTATAGTATAGGGTTGTTATATGCACATTACCTTATATATATATATATATATATATATATATATATATATATATATATTTTTTTTTTTGAAATTTTTTTTCTCTATATATATCTCTAAATTTTTTTTTTTTTAAACTTAGAAAATTTATAAAATAAGGATTTGAATTTTTTACTCTTTGCTGCTAATTTTTTTTTCTTCTTTATTTTATTTTATTTTCATACCAACATTGTTAAACAAACACAAAACGAAACAAAACAAAAAAATCCCAATATCAATGTGTACTGGTTTTCGGAGTTTGGAAAAATTTTGTTTTATTTAATTTGCACTTTTTTTTTGTTTTTTATTTTTTATTTTTATCTTTACTTTTTTATATACTTTTATTTTTATTTTACTTGTCCATTGCCGACATCCTCCAATTGTATCATTTTTTGTCATTTTATAAAATTATTATTTTTTATAAAAAGGTTCAATAAGGGTAATTTTGTCAACTTAGAGTTTAAATTTGTCAGATGGACCTTGTTGCACCACATTGAAACTGTATGGGTGTTTTTTGCACAAGAGGGACATCCTACAATAGTGTCATTTTACAAAAAATTTTATTTTTATATATTTTATAAAATAGTTTAATAAAGGTAATTTAGTCAACTTAGAATTTAAATTTGTCAGAGGGACCTATTTACACCAAATTAAAACGATGTTTGTTGCACTTGTGTAGGAAAAAAATACTATTAACTCCTATTTGACTTCAAAGTCTGAAGAGTTTCAAAATTTATGAACTCTCGTTCAAAATTCAATCCTATGTAGAATTCTAAATAATTTTTCTTTCTCTCAATATATATATATATATATATATATATATATATATACATACACAATATATGTATATATAATTTTTTTTTTTTCTTTTTTGAAGGTTACGTGTTTGGCTGTTAAAGTGATTTATAGTTATAAATAAGAATAAAAATGAGATATTTTTGCTGCCATCTCCTTCTTTGGTTTTCTTTTTCCGTCTCTTTTATTTTTCTTTACGTTTCTTTTTCCATCTCTTTCAACTTCTATCATGTAGTCAAGGAAAAAAAAAAGCTACGATGTAGATTTGGTTAAATTTGTATACCCAGATCTTTATTATGTCAATTAATCGTTGCTGCACCATTAACAATTTCACTGCATCATTAACAATTTCACTGCATCACTTTAATTATGATGTTTTTTTTCTTCCCTTCTTTGTACATTCCAATTCAACTCTTTACCAATCTTCATGGTTTATTAAGTATATAATTATCAAATTAAATTATGTTAATAGCTAAAAGAGTTTCAAAAAATTTACTCACCAAGCTATTTTTTTGTTTTAAATTCCTTTCATCAAAATGCATTATTAAAAGCCGATTATGTGGAAGGAATTTTAAAAACTGAAAGCTCCCCAAACATAGCGGAGTCAAATAGTTGAGATAATTCTTAGCAAGCTTGAGAATTGCAATAG